GCAGAAACTGGTTAGCTAGCTGAGCCTGGGAGTCTTAGCAACAGTTACATGTTTAAGTTTTCTGTGCAGGAGTTTGCCAAGACACCTTAGTATATATTTTTTGCTTCTTGGCTGCTGGAAGAAGGCCTTTCCCACGGACTCCAAAGGACTATTTGATTATCTCTCAAAGGACATGGTGTGAGTCAGTGCAACTGTTCACATGACTATATATATGTTGCTCTGCATAACAAAGAGTAAACACCTTATTGTTTACTGGTCACCTGCTTGGCATATCTTTTCTTTTGCAACTCAGTGTGTGGATTGGTAAAGACGCGAACTAGGCGTGATTTTCATTTTGCCACAAGTCTTGCCTTGTATATATTTGCAGTGTTGTCGCCCTTGTTCATATGCACTGAGAGGTCTAATCGGTTTATGAATCTGCTGTGCACTTTGAGTAAATTGGGTCTTTGGACCGTAATAAAGATTGATTGATTAATTTGGCCACTGAGCTTCAGGCAGATGAGCCACCTTGTTGTGCCGTCTGGGTTTGGCTCTATCCAGCCCCCTATTTGGATGGTTTTTACAAGGACCAATCCTATAGTTTGGCTTTCTTACGAAGGTTGAATGAAAAGTAATGCCTCCACCTTTGTAACTCCTCAACAGATGGCCGTACTGATATGAGGCAAGTAATGGCTTGTTCAGTAGACTCTCCTCTACAGTTCCATTTTGGCGGGAAGCCTTTGCATTGAATGGTTGTGTTCTTAAAGTGCGAAGTATGGAACCCTGCACAGACAGTTGGTCAATGCAACTTAAGCAACGTGCAATCATTGAATTATTGACAGCAGAAGGTGTCACCCCAAAGGAGATTCATCAGAGAATGCAAGCTGTTTGTGGTGATTGTGTTGATGTGAATATTGTGCGTCATTGGGCGAGTAAGGTGGGAACATCTGACTTGCATGACAAACAAAGAGTTGGACGTCCTGTGACAGTATCCACCGAGTGTCACAAGCAAAAGGTTGACAAATTGATTCAGGTGTGACGGCGCGAGTGGCACCACCTATGTGTAGAACTGTTCGTTGCAAGATTTAAACTGTTGTATCATGCTTAATCCTGCCTTTTTACCCTGCTTATGTATAGTTGTATGGATTGGTTACTTATAGCTATCAATCAGTACTGTTTGGCTCCACCTCTTCCTGCAGGAGGGGAGTGCTTCCTTTCTTTTCATTCTGCCATCAGAGTTTCTACCAGATGGACGTAAGAGACTTGATTCTAAAAGACCCTGATTTAAATTACCTCTCAGCACCAGTTGTGAGGTTTTTTACCCTTGAGACTTGTGCTTCATGTTCAGACCAACCTGAACGATGTTGGAAGTCTCAAGCGCCTTCAAACCGGTTCTTTTGGCATCAGAGGAAGATCCTGAATCTTCAAACATAGGCCATCTGAACTGGGGTTGTGGTTTGCTCCGGCATTCAGAGCCGTTGAGGAAAGAGGAAACTTGGAAAGGCTTCTCAGCTTCAAACTGAGACTGTAACGTATATTTTCCTTCACCCCTCTGAAGTTTCCAGCTCATTGCTTTAAAGAAATAACTCTTTGTGATCAATAAAACTTATTTTGAGTTATTTACAGTGTTTTGGGTTTTTGAGAGTTCCAGTTTCCTATAGGAGGGCAAGAAGCAATTCCCTGGGGAAAGATGCCACATCCATCCCTCCTTCATTAAGTGTTATAGCCCCCAGGCACGACGGCACATCAGGACAATCGTCGTATCTCTCAGGGAAAAATTTCAAGCATAATCGGAATTTCACAAGAACGTGTGGGTCACATTATTGTTTTGCTTGGCTATTGGAAGATTTGCGCACGATGGGTTGTGGAAACAGAGTGTCGACTTCTTCCGTGACGGCTTCAGAAAACTTGTTCATTGTTGGCAGAAATGTATCCAATTGTCTGGTGATTGAGTGGAAAAGTGAATCGTGGTAGTTAAAGAGCACATTCTAACGATTATTTCTGCGTTTGATTTATTAAAATATTCCCATGCAATCCAAGTAACTGTTGGAGTTCAGCCTGTGATTGTGTTTCAAGATGATCAAGATGCTTTAGATGTGGGGAATGATGTCACTAAGGGTCTGGTCAGTGATATTAATGCAGAGAATGACATAGGGACACCGGTTCAAAGTGGAGTTTCCCATGAGAATTTTCCTACAGGGTATAGGGATGATAGTTTACTCCCTGACCCAGAGAGTTCCCAGGATTTGGGGTTTGAAAACAACTTGGCACCTGGAGAAACTAATGAGCAGATAGATAATGAGTAAATAGACAGACGGATAAAAATTAGCACAAACAGACAGCTCAGCCAAGGCCTTCACCGCTCTGCACGATAAGAGGGAGAGGTAGTCAAGGCAAATGAAACCAGTTCCTGGCTGCTGGGAATAGCCTAACAGAGGGATATAAAGTTCCCACCAGGGAAAATATAGTCAGATGAAGCATCGTTTCAGAATCCTGCTATGTCTTTGTTCCTGTCCTATGGAAGCCTTGCTTGGAAGATTCATGTTAAGGATTTCTTGTTCATAGAATCATAGAATCATAGACCAAAGAGTTGGAAGAGACCTCATGGGCCATCCAGTCCAACCCCCTGCCAAGAAGCAGGAATATTGCATTCAAATCACCCCTGACAGATGGCCATCCAGCCTCTGTTTAAAACTTCCAAAGAAGGAGCCTCCACCACACTCCGGGGCAGAGAGTTCCACTGCTGAACGGCTCTCACAGTCAGGAAGTTCTTCCTCATGTTCAGATGGAATCTCCTCTCTTGTAGTTTGAAGCCATTGTTCCGCGTCCTAGTCTCCAAGGAAGCAGAAAACAAGCTTGCTCCCTCCTCCTCTCTGTGGCTTCCTCTCACATATTTATACATGGCTATCATATCTCCTCTCAGCCTTCTCTTCTTCAGGCTAAACATGCCCAGCTCCTTAAGCCGCTCCTCATAGGGCTTGTTCTCCAGACCCTTGATCATTTTAGTCGCCCTCCTCTGGACACATTCCAGCTTGTCAATATCTCTCTTGAATTGTGGTGCCCAGAATTGGACACAATATTCCAGGTGTGGTCTAACCAAAGCAGAATAGAGGGGTAGCATTACTTCCCTAGATCTAGACACTATGCTCCTATTGATGCAGGCCAAAATCCCATTGGCTTTTTTTGCCGCCACATTACATTGTTGGCTCATGTTTAACTTGTTGTCCACGAGGACTCCAAGATCTTTTACACACGTCCTGCTCTCGAGCCAGGCATTGTCCCCCATTCTGTATCTTTGCCTTTCGTTTTTTCTGCCAAAGTAGAGTATCTTGCATTTGGGTTTGACTCTTCGTCTCTTGTGCTTATATACTCATGCTGTGGATTAATGTTTTCCTGGTTCTTTGGATTTTATTACCAAAGTCTGGATCTTGTTTTTGAACTTTGCTAGACCCTACCTTGGAATACTTTGTTCCTGTTTTTCTTTTTGGGCTCATCTATTTGGGCTCATCTATTTTCTGAAAGCATATTTTTACCTTGCTGTTTTTTCTTATCTATATAAATAAAAATGTAATGTTCATTTGTGATATTTACAGAACTCAAAAACCCCTGGATGAATTGGCACCAAATTTGGACAGGATACACCTAACAACCCAATGTATGTTTTCCACTCAAAAAAACCACAAAAAAGGAGAAAGGTCTTCTGAACTACATGTCCACAAAGGAGAAACTGCATGTCTACAAAGAGACCCATGGCCACGCCCCCTCCTCCTCGCAAGGAAACAGCTGGCCATTAAAGCTTGAGGAGCCAGGCGCACATGCATGCCCCCCCACACACACACACACACGCGAGAGCGAGCACCATGGGAGTGGAGGGGGAGGCTTGCCGCATGGAGCCCCTTCTCTTTCCCTGCTCTGCCAGAAGGGCGGTCTCCTCCTCCACCACCTTTCCCTGTTGGAAGAGGCCGGCGGGTGGGGGATGGACTTTCTGTAGACCCTTCTTTCTTTTTTAACTCTTTCCTTTCTGTCTGACCTGCTTGGCCTGTCTCCGGCAACACGAGCACACATTTAACACACACACACACACACACAGGAGGTAGCTGCCTCTGCCACACTCCACCCGAAAGGACTCCCTTCCCTTCTTTCCTCCCTCCCTTTCTTTCCTTTTCTTCCTTCCTTCCCCTTCCTTTCCTCCCCTCCTCCTTCCTTCCTGTCCCTCCCTCCTTCCTTCTCCTTCTTTCCCTCCTTCCTTCTCCTTCCTTCACTTCCTCCCTTCCTGTCCCTCCTTTCTTTTCCTTCCCTTCTTTCCCTCCTTCCTTCCTTCTTCCTTTCCTTCTTTCTATGTAAGAAATAAATACAATATTTTATATATTGTTATATAGATTACTATATAATATGTTACTAATATATACAATATTACTATATAATACAAATTAAATGGAATGGACAGTCAAGAAGTAACGAGGGAAAGAGGGAAGGAATGAAGGAGGGAAAGGGGGAAGGAAGGAAGGAGAGAGGAGGAGGGAAAGAAGAAAAAAGAAAGAAGAAAAGAAGAGAAGCAAGGAAGGAGAGAAGGAACGAAAGACAGGAGGAGGGAGGGAGGAGGGAAGGAAGGAAGGAAGGAAGGAAGGAAGAAGGAAGGAAGGAAGGAAGGATGCAACCAAAGAGCAAAGAAGGGGGGAAAGAAACATGTAGAGATGGAAGAAAGAAGAGAAATAGGAAGGGAAAGAAAAAGAGGAAAGGAAGGAGAGAAAGAGGGAGGGAAGGTTGGCCACAGCAATGCGTGCCGGGTACAGCCAGTCTTCAATAAAAAAGGATTGTTTTCCTACGCAACGTGTGGTGTTTTAAAGTCAGACGGTTATTCCTGTTCTGGAGTGTAACAGCAATGAAGTTGGAGGCATTACTTTTCATTCAACCCTCGTAAATTGGACAAGGCAAGAGAGCTGCAGCAGAAGGAAATAGAACTGTGGCTTTGGAGGAGAGGAGGCCACCAATGGTTTTCAACGGCATGGAAAGAAGGAGCGCCAGATTAATTAGAGTTTAATATTAAGAGAACCCACAAGGAGGACTTTGGTTGCGTTAGGGTCACAGCTTTGCCCTCGCCTCTCCTCTTCCGGAAACATCCTCCACACACGATGTGAAAGGCCGTCTATTTTGACGAAGGCTTTTCCGTCCCAGCCCACCCTCCCTCCCTCCCTCCCTCTCTGGCAGAAGCGATTAATTATAATAGAGATCTAAAGCGTATCACAATAAATAATGCTTTTCCAGCCACCCCGCTTTGCCTTCCGCCAATACAACAAGGCAACACACATTCATACACTCTTCCCAGAGCTCTGCCCCCCAACTGGCTGAGTAAAGGCTGAGTAAAGGGCAGTGGTCACTCTCCAATCTCTTCAGCATCTTCTGCTTGTTCCTTTGCAGATACATAGAAGAGGAACATAAGTCATATGGCCATTCACGACCATCATCTCTTGCTGTCATTTGTCAGGGAGTTGGGGTGGGAATCTTTGGTGAAATTCCAGCTGTAGTGGGAGGGGGGTCCTGGATGGACGGAGCATCTCATGCGCCCGCCTCCAGTCCCTCTCTCCTCGCATCTTAGCTGAGGACAGCTAAATAGACCGGGGGAGCCTTGGCGAGGGCCTGCAGCCGGTGGTGGATGGAGCGCATGTTCTGCCGTTGTTGGGGTTCCCTTTGCCAGCAGCTCTGCATGATGTCGTAGACCTCCGAGGGGCACGTCCGGGGTCTCTCCAGCTCCCGGCCTTGGGTGATGCACTCGATCGCCTGCAGAGAAGAAGGGGGAGGAATTGGGTCCAAGAACCCCCATACCCAGCCCTTCCCCAACTATGGAAAGAAGACCTAACTCACTGCAGTATGGGAGGGGTGTGTGTTGGGTTTTATGGAATGCAACTCCCATAATCCTTTATTATTGGATGCGCTGGTGGGAAGCGAACCCCAAAGGTCAAACTTTGTAGGTTAAGATTCCCAAGCATGTTCCTATTATTATTATTATTATTATTATTATTTTACTAACAAAAACAATATGTCACAGCAAATGAGATTTATTATTATTATTATTATTATTATTATTATTATTATTATTATTATTATTAAGGAGCCCCCGGTGGCACAGTGGGTTAAACCCCTAAAGTATATTATTATTATTATTATTATTATTATTATTATTATTATTATTATTAAGTGTCTAGGACTATGTGATGTATGGGCAAATAATGCGTGCAGATCCCAGTAAGGTGGCCTTTTGTAGGTGGCAGATGGTAATTTTGTCAGTGCCGATTGTTTTTAAGTGCAGGCCAAGGTCTTGAGGCACTGCAACCAGTGTGCCGATCACCACTGGGACCACCTTGACTGGCTTGTGCCAGAGCTATTTCAGTTGTTATTATTGTTGTTGTTGTTATTACTATTATTATGTTTTTAAGGTAAAGGTTTTCCCCTGACATTAAGTCCAGTCATGTCCAACTCTGCTGTGTGGTGCTCATCTCCTTTTCTAAGCCAAAGAGCCGGCATTGTCCATAGACACCTCAAAGGTCATGTGGCCGGCATGATTGCATGGAGCGCTGTTACCTATTGATCTACGCACATTTGCATGTTTTCGAACTGTTAGGTTGGCAGAAGCTGGGGCTAATAGCAGGAGCTCACCCTGCTCCCCGGATTCAAACCATTGACTTTTTGGTCAGCAAATTCAGGAGATCATTGGTTTAACCCGCTGCACCACCGGGGGCTCCATAAATAAAGTATATTATTATTATTATTATTATTATTATTATTATTATTATCATCATCATCATCATATTACTGACACAAAAACACAGTATGTCACAGCAAACAAGATCTATATGCTGGATTTCGTATCAAAAAATCACAAGTCGAACACTTCCCAAGTGTCTACGACTATGTGATGTATTTTTGAATGATGCGCGCAGATCCAAGAAATAATAATTATAATTATAATTATTTTACTAACACAAAACCACAGATGATGGTGATAAAAATGATGATGATGATGATGATGATTATTATTATTATTATTTGAAACACAACAAGATGAGTCCACACCAAACAATGTCACTCTGCAGGCTGTTGTATTGGATCACACGTCAGACACTTCCCAAGTGTCTAGGACTATGTGATGTATCAGCGAATAATGCGTGCAGATCCCAGTAGGGTGGCCTTCTGCAGCTGGCAGCTGCTAATTTTGTCAGAGCTGATTGTTTTTAAGTGCAGGCCAAGGTCTTTAGGCACTGCACCCAGTATGCCGAGAAAACCTACAACAACCCATTACTATTATCATTTTTACTGACACAAAAACAGTATGTCACAGAAAATGAGATTTATTATTATTATTATTATTATTATTATTATTATTATTATTATTATTTGATAAAGGTAAAGGTAAAGGTTGTCCCCTGACATTAAGTCCAGTCATGTCTGACTCTGGGGTGTGGTGCTCATCTCTATTTCTAAGCCGAAGAGCCGGCGTTGTCCATAGACACCTCCAAGGTCATGTGGCCGGCATGACTGCATGGAGCACCATTACCTTCCCGTCAGAGCAGTACCTATTGATCTACTCACACTTGCATGTTTTCGAACTGCTAGGTTGGCAGAAGCTAGGGCTGACAGCGGAAGCTCACGCCGCTCCCCGGAATCGAACCTGAGACCTTTAGATCAACAAGCTCAGCAGCTCAGTGCTTTAACCCACTGCGCCACCGGGGGGGGGGGGTGTATCAAATAATACACATTATCAGATAATGTGTATTATTTGATACACAGCAAAAATGATCGCTTTGCTGGCTGTTGTATTGGATCACATGTCGGACACTTCCCAAGTGTCTAGGACTGTGTGATGTATCGGCAAATAATGCGTGCAGATCCCAGTACGGTGGCCTTTTGTAGCTGGCAGATGGTAATTTTGTCAGTGCCGATTGTTTTTAAGTGCAGGCCAAGGTCTTTAGGCACTGCACCCAGTATGCCGATCACCACCGGGACCATTATTATTATTATTATTATTATTATTATTATTATTATTTCTTATCCTAATGTGATGAGGTCCATAAATCTCTCTAGAAATGATTACCCCTTACCCCACCCTCCCAAATGAGGAATGCCATCTCCCTCCTTCTCCGCCCTGTCTCTCTCTGTGTCTGCTTTGGGGGGTCCCATCAGTCCCTTGCTGTTACCTCGGTGTTGGAGAGCTGGTACCACGGCTGCTTCCCATAGGTGAAGATTTCCCAAAGCACGACCCCGAAGCTCCAGATATCACTCTCCGTGGTGAACTTCCGATACAGGATGCTCTCCGGCGGCATCCATCGGATGGGAAGCATGGTCCGGCCTCCGACCTGTGTGTATGTTTGGATCAGAAGGCAAACAGTCAGTGAGTGGAGAGGTAAACAATCTAAACACGATGGTTTGGCAGCCGAAAGACCTTTGGCACCAGTCAAAGCAGAGGTTGGTGTCTTTTGGCTCTTGCCTCAATGTCTCTCCTCCAAGATCTGTCTATTGAGGGCTCCAGGGACTGGAAAAGGTGGGCAACCAGAGAAGGCACCCCCTTGGAAAAGAAAGCGAGCCATGCATGTTGGAGAAGGTGCCAGCAATGGTGGAGGAGGCCAAGAAAAGGTCCCATTGCCGACACACAGGAGCGTTCCTGGAAGAGCACTCAAGCCAAAGACAGGAAGCCCGCCTGTACTCGGAGGACTGGGCCCAGACTCCGCTGTCCCGTTGGGAACCCGGGAACTTTCCAGTCGCTTCTTTCCCCCCTCCCCTTGTTTACTTTCCTGCCTGCTTTCAATTAACCATTCCATGGCTGCCCCCCATCCCCACTCCTTCCAGCACTCTCGTGTTTTCCACTGACTAAGTGCTTACAGGATTTTCCACCCAGGGCTCCATTAAATATGTATAGGGGTTCAAGGCAGGAGCTAAAAGGGAAAAAAGGGTCAGAGAGGACAATCCCCATGGAGTCCTTGAGGAGGGGTGGGAGGAAAGGGGCAACAGGGGAGAGAGGAAGCAGGGACCAAGTGGCACCCCAAGAACTGGCTTCGTCAAAGACTCCTGACTCAGTGGAGACACGAAACTCAATCGTGCCCTTCAGGAAATAGAGAAATGAAGGGCACCATGAAAGAGCAAAAGCAGAATGGCAGAAGGGGTCTAAAGCAGGTATGGGCAAATCCAAGCCAGGGGGCCAGAGGTGGCCCCTTGGGCTCTTTTCTCAGGCCCTCCTCTCTCTCATCATCCTATCCTTCCTTCCTTCTGTCTTTCCTTCCTCCTTCACTCCCTCTCTTCCTTCCCTCCCTCTTTCTCCTTCCTTCCCTCCTTCCTTCCCTTCCATCCTTTCGTCCTTCCTTCCTTCTCTCTTTTCTTCTTCCTTTCCTCCTCTCTTTTTCCCCTTCCTTCCTTCCTTCCTTCGCCTTTGTCTTTCCTTCATTCTCTCTTTCCTTCCTCCTTTCCTCTCTCCCTTCCTTCTCTCCCTCTTTCTCCTTCCTCCCTTCCCCCTTTCTCCTTTCCTCCTCTTTCTCTCCTTCTTCCTTCTTTCCTTCCTTCCTTCCTTCCTTCCTTCCTTCCTTCCTTCCTTTCCTTCCTTCCTTCCTTCCTCCTTCCTTCCTTTCCTCTTCCTCTTTCTTCCTCCTCCTCCCTTCCCTTCCCTCCCTCTTTCCTTCCTTCCCTTCCCTTTTCCTTCCTCTCTCTTTCTCCTCTTCCCCCTCTCCTTTCCCCTCCTTCCCTTCCCTTCTCTCCTTCCTTCCTTTTCTCTTTCCTTCCTTCTCTCTTTCTTTCCTTCTTCTTCTCTCCTCTCCTTCTCCTCCTCCTTCCTTCCCTTCCACACTTTCGTCCTTCCTTCTTCCTTCTTTCCTCTTCCCTTTTTTTCCTTTCTTCTTTCCTTCTTTCTCCTCCTTCCTCTTCTTTCTTCTTCCTTCTTCCTTCTTCCTTCCTTCCTTTCCTTTTCCCTCTTCCTTCCTCCTTCCTCCCTTCCCTCCCTTTCCCTTCCTTCTTTCCTTTCCTTCCCTTCCTTCCTCCCTTCTTTCCTTCCTTCTTCTTCTTCCTCTTTTTTCCTTCCCTGCCTTCCTTCTTTCCTTCCTTTCCTTCCTTCCCTTTTTTCCTTTCTTCTTCTTCCTCCTTCTCTTCCTTCCTCTCCTTCCTTCCTTTTACTCTTTCCTTCCTTCTCTCTTTCCTTCTTCTCCTTTTTCCTTCCTCCTCTTTCTCCCTCCTTCCTTTCTTCCTTCCTTTTTGACATTCCTTCTCTTCTTTCCTTCTTTCCTCCTTTCTTCCCTCCAATTTCCTTACCTCCCTCTTTCCCCTTTCTCCCTTTCTTTCTTTCCTTCCACTTTCGTCCTTCTTTCCTTCCCTCTTTCTCCTTCTTTCCTCTCTCTCTTTCCTTCCTTCTTCTTTTTTCCTTCCTTCCTCCCTTTCTTCCTTTCTTTCCTTCCTCTCCTTCTCCTTTTTCCTTCCTTCTTTTTCTCTTTCTTCCTTTCCCTTTCTTCCTCCCCCTTCCTTCCCTTTCCTTCCTTTTCCTTCCCTCCCTCTTTCCTCTCCTTCCTCTTTCCCTTCCTTCTTCCTTCCTTCCTTCCTTCCTTCTTCCTCCTTTCTTCCTCCTTTTTGACTTTCCTTTGTTCTTTCTTTCTTTCCTTCCTCCTTTCCTCCCTCCTTTCCTTACCTCCCTTTTCTCCTTCCTTGTTTCCCTTCCACCCTTTCGTCCTTCTTTCCTTCCCTCTTTTCTCCCTTCTTTCCTCTTCTCTTCCTTCCCCTTCCTTCTCCCTTTTGTCTTTCCTTCTTTCTCTCTTTCCTTTATCCTTCCCTTCCTTCTCCCCTTCTCTCCTTTTTCTCTTTCCTTCTTTCTTTCCTTTTCTTCCCTTTCTTCCTCCCTCTTTCTCCCTCCCTCCTTCCTTCCTTCCTCCCTTTCATCCTTCCTCCCTTCCCTCTTTCCTACCTCCTTCCCTCACTCCCTCTTTCCCCTTCCTTCCTTCCTTCCTTTTTGACATTCCTTTGTCTTTCTTTCCTTCCTCCTTTCTTCCCTCCATTTCCTTACCTCCCTCTTTCTCCCTTCCTTTCTTTCCCTTCCACCCTTTCGTCCTTCTTTCCTTCCCTCTTTTCTCCCTTCTTTCCTCTCTCACTTTCCCCTCCCTATCTCCCTTTTTCTTTCCTTCCTTCTCTCTTCCCTTCCTTCCTTACCTCCCTCTTTCTCCCTCCTTCCCTTTCACCCTTTCATCCTTCCTTCCCTCTTTTCTCTCCCCCTTTCTCCTTCCTTCCTTCCTTCCTTCCTTCCTTCCTTCCTTCCTTCCTTCCTTCCTTCCTTCCTTCCTTCCCTTTTGCCTTTCCTCTCTCTCTCTCCATCTATCCATCCATCCATTCCCTTCCACCCTTCCTTCCTTCCTTTCTTCCTGGGAGATGTTTAGCTGAGAAAAGAGGGGTAGAGAGGGAATATAAGAACCATGTTTCAAGATTGACAAGGGTGTCCCATTGAGGAGGAAGAGAAGGAGGAGGAGGAGGAAAACTGATTTCTTGAGAAAAGGAAGGGAGGGGGAGCCCAATGAAGGGACTTGGGGAGAACCCCCTCCCTCCTGGCTCGCCTACCCCACTCTGGTCTGCCATGTGGTCCCCAAGTTGGAAAGTTTGCCCATGCCTGGCCGAGAGGCGATGCCAAGGCTGGAGTAGCACCAAGGCCAGCGGTCAGCCCCACCTTCCACCCAGGTTGATGGAGATGGCCTAAGATGGGGAAAGTCAGTTCCCGCCCCAACTCACCCGGTAGTAGTCAGTGCTGTAGATGTCCCGGGACATGCCAAAGTCTCCAATCTTCACCACCATGTTGTGTCCCACCAGGCAGTTCCGGGTGGCCAGGTCCCGGTGGACGAAATGCAGGGAGGCGAGGTAGACCATGCCAGAGGCAATCTGGGTGGCAATCTGCAGCATCTGGCTGAGGGTCAGCTGCCCAAAGGACTGGCCATTGCTCCCGTTGTCCAGGATCTTTGCGTCCGGGCCATGGGACCTACAAGGAGTTGAGGGAGGGATGTTGGTTTGCAGGAGAACCAGCCAAGAAAGCCAAAAGCAGAAAGTTTGAAGCTTAGTGGTTCACCCACACCACACTTTCAAAGTGTTGGAACTTTGTTGGGTCTTCAAATTGCCTTTTTTTGTTTTTTACAGTGTTCAAAATGTTAGTTTAAATCAGTGGTTCCCAACCTTTTTTGACCAGGGACCACTTGACCAGGGACTACTAGACCAGGGACCACTTTGACCAGGGATTACTTGACCAGGGACCACTTGACCAAGGACCACTTGACCAGGGACTTTGTTGCTCAAGAGGGAAGAGTTCTACAGGTGGGTGGGGAAGGATTTAGATTACCCCAACCTTTTTTGACTAGGGACCACTTGACCAGGGACTACTAGACCAGGGACCACTTTGACCAGGGACCACTTGACCAGGCACATCTTAAACAGGGATCACATGACCAGGGACTACTTGACCAGGGGCTACTAGACCACGGACTACTTGACCAGGGATCACTTGACCAGAGACTACTTTACCAGGGACCACTTTGACCAGGGACCACTTGACCTGGGACCATTTGAGCAGGAACTACGTGACCAGGGACCACTTGACCGGGGACCACTTTGACCAGGGATTACATGACCAGGGACCACTTTGACCAGGGACCACTTTGACTAGGGACCATTTGACCAGGGACTACTTGACCAGGGACCACTTTGACCAGGGACCACTTGACCAGGGACCACTTTGACCAGGGACTACTTGACCAGGGACCACTTGACCAGGGACCACTTGACCAGGGACCACTTTGACCAGGGACTACTAGACCAGGTACTACTTGACCAGGGATCACTTGGCCAGGGATCACTTGACCAGGGACCACTTCACCAGGGAACAATTGACCAGGGATAACTTGACCAGGGACCACTTTGACCAGGGACTACTTGACCAGGGACCACTTGACCAGGAACTACTTGACCACAGACCACTTTGACCGGGGATTACTTGACCAGGGACTACTTTGACCAGGGTCTACTTGACCAGGGACCACTTTGACCAGGGATTACTTGATCAGGGACCACTTTGTCCAGGGACTACTTGACCAGGGACCACTTTGACCAGGGACTACTAGACCAGAGACTACTTTGACCAGGGACCACTTTGACCAGGGACCACTTTGATCAGGGACCACTTTGACCAGGGACTACTTGACCAGGGACCACTTTGACCAGGGACTACTAGACCAGGTACTACTTGACCAGGGATCACTTGACCAGGGACCACTTCACCAGGGAACCAATGACCAGGGATAACTTGACCAGGGACTACTTAACCAGGAACAACTTGACCAGGGACCACTTGACCAAGGACTACTTGACCAGGGACTTTGTTGCTCAAGAGGGAAGAGTCCTACAGGTGGGTGGGGAAGGATTTAGATTACCCCGCTCTCCCTGCACGGATGGATTTCAGGCCTCCAACGTTGCACGCGTCTCACTTGGCCACTTCCAAAGACGAGGTCTGCTACCTCCCTTGGCACACTCTGCCACTGCTGTTGCTGGGCTGCGTTGTCTCCTCTCTCCTGTGCCCCCTCCCATTGCAAGTGCCTCCTCCCTGCTCCATTACTGGAGCGGCTTTGCCAGCCAACCCCCCCCCCCCACCCCCACCCCTGCTAATGCAATCTTCCCTTGCAATATTGATTAGATTAGCTGTCTGAGAGGCTCAAATTGAGGGAGATTGGCCATCAGCTGGAATAAGCAGAGGCTCTTTCGATTGGCCCCCCAGGTATTGCCGATAGACAGGAGCTGCCAACGGGCCCCGCTTAGCCTCCCCAGGACGAGGGCAGGAGTGCGGGGCTTTGATGATTATGGTTATGAGACTTGGCATTAATGGCAGGGCTTTACCGGAGACCTGGGCTCTGCACCGCGGCCGCCTCATCCAACACTGTCAGCTGTGCTTTGTCTCATGCCAGGCCATCCTGGCGAGGTGGGGGACAGTGCCCGCGGTCACCAACCCCAAGTCCATTGCTGGGGACAAACAAGAAGCTTCTTTTGCATGCATTGCCTTCTAGGGTGGGTGGGGGGCAGTTGGCTGGCTACTGTTGGGACCAAGGTCCACCATTGTGCAGGAGGGAGTTGAAAAGCAAGCTCTGATTAAACACACACAAGGTGTTATAATTTTTAGAAGGCAATAATAGCGGAAATGGACATTTTGACAAGATATCTACAAACATAAAACCCTTCAATATTCAAGAAAGATAGAGAACCCTTCAAAATTTCCTGGAGGAAGAGAAAATTCCAACATTTTATTTATTCCTAGCTGTCCCCTGCCACGTGTTGCTGTGGCCCAGTCTGGTGATCTGGAAAATAAAGTAATGAGAAAGTGCTGGTTTCTAATATATGTAATTCCTTTATGCTTGTGAGTAAACAGTATTTCTTGTTGTTTCTTTGTCAGTGTTGATGTGGAGAGTGTCTGGTTTGCCTACTCTGGAATGTGCAACATATCATAGTTCTTCTTTAAGGGTCTCTTTCAAATCTGTGATACTATATCTGTGTGTGTGAGAGAGAGAATCATATCTATCTATATTTATGATTGGATGGCTCTTTGTCAGGAAGGCTCCGATCACATTTTCTTGCCCTGGTGAAGAGAGTTGGACTGGATGGCCTTAAGTATGTTCTGTTGGTCATGGGGGTTCTGTGTGGGAAGTTTGCCCCATTTCTGTCATTTGTGGGTTTCAGAATGCTCTTTGATTGTAGTGAACTATAAATCCCAGTAAGTACAAATCCCAAATGTCAAGGTCTATTTCCTCCAAACTCCATCTGTGTTCTTATTTAGGCATATGGAATTTTTGTGTCAAGTTTGGTCCAGATCCATCATTGTTTGGGCCCACAGTGCTCTCTGGATGTAAGTGAACTACAACTCCCAAACTCAAGGTCAATGCCCACCAAACCCTTCCAGTGTGTTCTGTTGGTCATGGAAGTCCTGTATGCCATGTTTAGTTCAATTCCATCATTGGTGGAGTTCAGACTGCTCTTTGGTTATAGGTGAACTATAAATCCCAGCAACTACAACTCCCAAATGTCAAGTTCTATTTACCCCAAACTCCATCTGTGTTCATATTTGGGCATATGGAATATTTGTGCCAAGTTTGGTCCAGATCCATCATTGTTTGAGTCCACAGTGCTCTCTGGATGTAGGTGAACTACAATTCCCAAACTCAAGGTCAATGTCCACCAAACCCTTCCAGTTTTTTCTGTTGGTCATGGGAGCCCTGTGTGCTAAGTTTGACCCAATTCCATCATTGGTGGAGTTCAGAATGCTCTTTGATTGTAGGTAAACTATAAATCCCAGCAACGACAATTCCCAAATGACAAAATCGGGGTTTTTTTGAGTGGAGGACATAAATTGGACTGTTAGGTGTCTTGTGTCCAAATTTGGTGTCAATTCCCCCAGTGGTTTTTGAGTTCTGATGGTAGCACGAACTAACATTACATTTTTATTTATATAGAATAATAATAATAATAATAATAATAATAATAATAATAATAATTTGCCTGATATATGTTGTCTGATGTTATTTGGCTACCCCTCTGAAACCCCCTTGAGACCCTCCCAGGGGTCCCGACCTCCAGGTTGAGAAACGCTGGTCTATCCAATGCAATTTTCTGAATCAACACCCCAAATAACCAAACCAAACATAAAGTTGACCAAAAACTGATTCATACCCCTTTCGGTACTAATGCTGGAGAGTGATCCCTGGTCAGAGTAGTCCCTGGTCAAAAAAAAAGTTGGGAACCTTGCTCTTGAGCAAGCCCAAGCACACTACCAGCTTTACCTCTTAGAATCATAGAATCATAGAATCAAAGAGTTGGAAGAGACCTCATGGGCCATCCAGTCCAACCCCATTCTGCCAAGAAGCAGGAATATTGCATTCAAATCACCCCTGACAGATGGCCATCCAGCCTCTGTTTAAAAGCTTCCAAAGAAGGAGCCTCCACCACACTCCGGGGCAGAGAGTTCCACTGCTGAACGGCTCTCACAGTCAGGAAGTTCTTCCTCATGTTCAGATGGAATCTCCTCTCTTGTAGTTTGAAGCCATTGTTCCCTTGCGTCCTAGTCTCCAAGGAAGCAGAAAACAAGCTTGCTCCCTCCTCCCTGTGGCTTCCTCTCACATATTTATACATGGCTATCATATCCCCTCTCAGCCTTCTCTTCTTCAGGCTAAACATGCCCAGCTCCTTAAACCGCTCCTCATAGGGCTTGTTCTCCAGACCTTTTATCATTTTAGTCGCTCTCCTCTGGACACATTCCAGCTTGTCAATATCTCTCTTGAATTGTGGTGCCCAGAATTGGACACAATATTCCAGGTTCCTATAATAATAGGAATCTGCTTGGGAATCTTAACCTACAAAGTTTGACCTTTGGGGTTCACTTCCCACCAGGCCCGTAGCCAGGATTTCATTTCGGGGGGGGGGGGGGTAATTTTTTTCAGGGGGGGTTTCGGGGGGGGGCAGAGTTTCGGGGGGGGCTGAGTCTGAGTGAAAGAGGGTCTACCCTAGCAAACCTTTTGTATCATTACCCCAATACCCCCATGCATATGGGATATATTGAGTATGGTGATCAGATCATGATATGAATAACATAACAGTTTAAATAATGCACCAGTAAGGCCTTTTCGCGAACCACCATGAGAATTTCGGGGGGGGGGTTAAGCCCCTCAAGCCCCCCCCCCCCCCCCCCAGAATTGGACACAATATTCCAGGTGTGGTCTAACCGAAGCAGAATAGAGAGGTAGCATTACTTCCTTAGATCTAGACACTATGCTCCTATTGATGCAGGCCAAAATCCCATTGGCTTTTTTTGCCGCCACATCACATTGTTGGCTCATGCAACAAAGTGCCATACAATGAATGCCTATGTCCCTGTGAGGACGAGACAGTGGAAACTGTGGAGCACGTTTTGTTGTACTGTTCTTTCTACCGTGACCTTCGTAAACATTTTATAAATCCAATTTTAGAAAGTCTACCAGGGAGATCTGCAAGGTTTTATACAGATTATCTCCTGTCTGACCAACACCCCAAGGTCACTGTCAGGGTTGTTAGACCTTCCTGAAATCCAGGTACGCTACATCCACGGCATTCCCTGCATATTTCCAGCTTGTAACTCTATCGAAAAAAGATTTGTTTGTCAGGATGGACATGGAAAAGCTGCCTTCTACCTACCGGAGGAAGCGGTTGAGGTCTCCGTGCTTCATGTACTCGAAGAGCATGACCAAGGGCTCCCCGTCGGTGCAGACGCCGTAGAAACGGACAATGTGCTCGTGTTGCAGCACCGTCAGCAGCTCCGCCTCGCGCTGGAAGTCCAACCGGGCGCTTTCTGTCGCCTCTTTCAAGGTCTGAGGGAGAATGGAGGTCGGATCAGTTCCAATCCCTTTCTTTCATGCAGACTTTGTTGCACCGAAGGGTGGAAGACCCACCCTCCGAGCACCCCACAACTAACCCTTCGAGCTCACCTTGACGGCCACCAGCATCTTCTCTTCGGTGGGGCTGAGGTTGTAGCACTCGGCCAGGAAGACTTTGCCGAAAGCCCCCTCGCCCAGCTCCCACTTCAGGATGATGTCCCGGCGCTTGATGTGATGGACACCTGCGGAGAAGAAAGCCAAAATTCTCTCTGGTGGTGCTCCTTCCCTCAAAGAGCAAGGCTTTGAGGAAGAGGGAATCTTGATCTATCCTCCCACTGCATCTTCAGCCATATCAGACCAAAGCAACTTCACTTCAGTGACTCAAGTACCCTGTACTGTCGCCGCTGGGCCTGTATCTGGTTGGCTTGTGTAACCTTTGCCCAGCGGGAAGCCAGGGGCCCAAGGAGAAGTTCTCAGGGGCTTCCTCTACAAAATAATCTTCAGATAGCTTGAGAAATACAACAAAGTCTTTTATTAATTAAATCAAACAGGAACTACAAGGCTTTCTAGATAAAGTATTGGTTCTCTCAATCTTGTCCACAGGGGACAGGCACTATCTTCAATAACGTTTTCTTTAAAGGAAAATTCCCCTTTTTAACTTCTCCCAGGCTGACTAAAATCCAACCCTCGCTGATGCGTGCTCCACTACCAGGCCGAACTGCTTCTCGGACGCCGAGTGGACCTACCAGCAAGGCAGTGGATGTTCTCCAGCTGGAGTTCTTTAGTCTTTAAGGCTGTTTTCCTGGAGGTCTTAAAGCTGTTCTCCCCTGGATTGCTTAAGGCTGTGGGAATGCTTCCCTGGCATTCTTTCCCTGGAGATTCTTAAAGGTTGAAGCCTTTGTACAGGGGAAGTTACACACATCCTATACAAAAGCTAACCTGGATGAGACTAACTAACAAAATGGCTCACTTCCCTCCAAAGCCCAAAAAGGGGGCGGGACTAGGGAACCTAATAATCATTGACAAGCAATTGACCCAATAACTGCAAAGTAAGGAAAGCCATCTAACTGCAAAGACATACAACTTTAAAATACATGCAGTAATCAACAAATAGCAAGATAAGCTGGAGCTCCTGGTGTGGCTGTCCCAGAACATACCCACCAAACAAGGCTGTAGCCAACCAGAATGTGTGGTGCTCTCAACTGAGGCTGGGCCTGCACTGTTTCTGGACATCATGCAAAGAGATGGCCTCTGCCTATGAAGGGCTTAAGACTGTGACACCAAGGCCATTCCATGCCAAGGGGTCTAATATTTTGGAAAGTTCCCATCATCATGTTCTCAAATTTTCGCTATAGCACCAGACAGGTGTTAAACTATGTTTCACAGAATTTGAGGTCTCTATCTGCAATAGTTGCTGATCTAGACCCTTGGTTTCAACGTGATAACCACTAATGGCTATCATAGAATCATAGAATCCTAGAGTTGGGCGAGACCTCATGGACCATCCAGTCCAACCCCATTCTGCCAAGAAGCAGGAATATTGCATTCAAAGCACCCCTGACAGATGGCCATCCAGCCTCTGTTTAAAAGCTTCCAAAGAAGGAGCCTCCACCACAATCCAGGGCAGAGAGTTCCACTGCTGAACGGCTCTCACAGTCAGGAAGTTCTTCCTCATGTTCAGATGGAATCTCCTCTCTTGTAGTTTGAAGCCATTGTTCTGCGTCCTAGTCTCCAGGGAAGCAGAAAGGAAGCTTGCTCCCTCCTCCCTCTCACATATTTATACATGGCTATCATATCTCCTCTCAGCTTTCTCTTCTGCAGGGTAAACATGCCCAGCTCTTTCAGCCGCTCCTCATAGGGCTTGTTCTCCAGACCCTTGAACATTTCAGTTGCCCTCCTCTGGACACATTCCAGTTTGTCAATATCTCTTTTCAATTGTGGCACCCAGAATTGGACACAATATTCCAGGTGTGGTCTAACCAAGGCGGAATAGAGCATGGGGAGCATGACTTCCCTGGATCTAGACACTAGGCTCCTATTGATGCAGGTCAAAATCCCATTGGCTTTTTTTCAGGACAATGGTGGCATTTTGGGCTATGGAATCCTGCCCACCCCCAACACGTATCCCCATATGTTTCACTGGCAGGCAAAGACTGGTTGGTCGGTTTCCCCAAACCTTTTAAACTCCTTCCATTTATTGCATTTGTATTCTTTAGCACTGTTCTACTTCCATGTGGTGCTTGAGTGGTTTTATAATTTCAACTGCTTTGTAATTGCTTTTGCGAAGGTCTGAAGTATTATCATAATAATAAATAATACGATGGCCATGTATAAATAGGTGAGGGCAAGTAATATGGAGGAGGGAGCAAGCTTGCTTTCTGCTGCCCTGGAGACTAGCGCTGGGAGTAATGGCTTCAAACTACAGGAAAGGAGATTCCACCTGAACTTGAGGAAGAACTTCCTGACTGTGAGAGCTGTTCAGCAGTGGAACTCTCTGCCCCGGAGTGTGGTGGAGGCTCCTTCTTTGGAGGCTTTGAAACAGAGGCTGGATGGCCATCTGTTGCGGGTGCTTTGAATGCATTTTTCCTGCTACTATGAGAATTTTATGATTGATATTCCACCCTATCTCCCTAAGGGGACTCAGGATGGATTAAACTATACACATACGGTAAACATTCAATGTTGTTCTGCAATTAACGAAGACAGACAGTATACAAGCAGAGGTAAAGGCTTCCCATCTTTTTCATCTTCGGCATCTGGAGGCTGTGCTCAACTCTGGCCATGGGGTGTGTGTGTAAGTGTATGTGTGTGTGTGTGTGTGCTGTCGCTCCATCTTCCATGCCAAGGAGCTTTCTTGTCCTAGTCGCTCTCCCGACTGAATCCTCGGCATGTCCGCATGGAAACCTGTTATTACCTCCCTGCCAAAGTGATACCTATTTATCTACTCACATTGCTGCTAGGTGAGCAGAAGCTGGGTTGACGGTCGGGAGCTCACCCCAACCCGGGCTTGAACTGTCAACCTTTTGATAGGCAAGATTTTCTGCAGCTGGCGGTTTAACCTGCTGTGCTAAAGCCCGGCCTTTTATGCTATTTTAATTATGCTGTTTTGATAAGAGTTTGGAAGTCAACAAGAAGATTTTTTTATTATTATTATTTTCTTTTTCCTTTTTTATTTTTTCTCCGCTATTATATATATATACATACTTTTTCTACCATTTTCCCCATTTTTTCCTTTCCCTCTTTTTTATATTTTCTATTTTAATTCCTATATTTATTTTATTTCTATATTTTTCATTGTTTTATTTTTTGCCTTTCATTCCCCTTTAGCCCTTTTACCCCCCACTCCCATTGGTAAGGAAACCTCCGTACCCCTTCTACCACAGTTAGCCTCCTTCCCTTTTTTCCTTTTTACCAATCTAATTTTCCTACCCCTTTTTACCTAGCCCCTCCTATCCCCCCCTTTTTCTTCATTCCTTTTTTTCCTCTTCATTCCTTTCCACCCCCCTTTTCTCCTCCCCTTTTTTCCTAAACAATCAATAAAAAATATTTTTTTAAAAAAATATATGCTGTTTTGATGTCTATCAGGGAGCCCCTGGTTAAACCACTGAGCTGCTGAACTTGCTGATCAAAAGATTGCAGGTTCGAATCTGGGGAGAGGGGTGAGCTCCCGCTGTTAGCCCCAGCTTCTGCCAACCTAGCAGTTTGAAAACATGCAAAGGTGAGTAGATCAATAGGTACCGCTCTGGCAGGTAGGTAACAGCGCTCCATAAAATCATACCGGCCACTTGGAGGTGTCTACGGACAACGCCAGCTCTTCAGCTTAGAAATGGAGATGAGCACCAACCCCCCAGAGTTGGACACGGCTAGACTTAATGGCAGGGGAAAACCTTTACCTTTACCTAATGTTTATCAGGACTCCCAATTATTTGAAAGTGACCCTGGCAAGCTTTAGGGCACAGTGATAAAGGTGGGCACCACAGGTTGTAGAAGCTTCCCTGGACAGAAAGCTCTTGCAGAGGAGAGGCAGTTCTCTCCTGGGGTGGGATCATAACAGTCCACCTTCCATCCTGTCACCCACGGCTAGTGATTCCTTCCCACTCCCCTATGCCTTATCCCAGAAAGCCAAGGGGAAGTTTGGGGAGCAGGGACACTATAGAGAAGGTGGGAAGGCACTCACTCGTGTTGCAGAAATACTGAGGGTTCTCAATGAAGTTGGTCTTCAGCGTCTCCAGCTTGCTCTCAGCGGACGAGAGGGGGCTGCCGCTGCCTCCACCGCCTACGTTCATGAACTGCAGTGACATTTCCTCCTCTTGCGCCAAGGCCACCGACCCTGTGGGGTAGAGCGCACTAGCAGTGAGGGCCACTCATAAGGAAAAGGGGCTTCCTCCCTATGCAGCCCCCCATCAGTGGTATCTTAAGCCCTGCCTTTAACCACAGGACTCCTCTGCAGATCGAGAGGAGAACCTCCCAGGATCAGTGGTATCTTAAGCCCTGCCTTTAACCTCCAAAGATTGAGAGGAAGGGAAAGAGGGAATGTTTTTAAGGAGATTTTACTTATAAAATGGAAAAAAATCCTAAAAATCGGGGGATGACCCAAATGTTATAAAACTTGGTAGACTAAGAGTGGTGGATGTGCCCTCCATGTGTGGTGATTTTCACCCCTCTGGTCCTAAAACTGAGAGGAAGGGGAGCCTGGGAAGTCCGCCCATGTTGACCAATCATCCAAACATTTGTGTTCATTCGGACGAAATAAATCATTATTATTATTATTATTATTATTATTATTATTATTATTATTATTTGTTATTTCATCCAATAATAATAATAATATGATGATGATGATGATGATGATAATGATAATATGATAATGACTACATCTGCCTGCCACCTCAGGAGGAGAAGGAGGAAATCTTGCTGCTTTCCCCCCCCCCCCCCCCCAAGCCAGCTAAGAGGAGGAAGGGGACTGAGGAAGAGACTTTAAAAACACTGTCTCCTGGCTGTTGCTTACTACATCTGCCTGCCACCTCAGGAGGAGAAGGAGGAAATCTTACTGCTACTCTCCCTGTCCCAAGCCAGCTAAGAGTAGGATGGGGACTGAGGAAGAGACTTTAAAAACACCTGTCTCTGGCTGTTGCTTACTACATCTGCCTGCCACCTCAGGAGGAGAAGGAGGAAATCCTGCTGCTTCTCCCCCTCCCACCAGCTAAAAAGAGAAAGGAGACTAAGGAAGAGACTTTAAAAACACCTGTCTCCTGGCTGTTGCTTACTACATCTGCCTGCCACCTAAGGAGGAGAAGGAGGGAATCCTGCTGCTTCTCCCCGCCCTCCAACCAGCTAAAAGGAGAAAGGAGACTAAGGAAGAGACTTTAAAAACACTTGGTCTCCTGGCTATTGCTTACTACATCTGCCTGCCACCTCAGGAGGAGAAGGAGGAAATCTTACTGCTACTCTCCCTGTCCCAAGCCAGCTAAGAGTAGGATGGGGACTGAAGAAGAGACTTTAAAAACACCTGTCTCCTGGCTGTTGCTTACTACATCTGCCTGCCGCCTCAGGAGGAGAAGGAGGGAATCCTGCTGCTTCTCCCTGCCCTCCAACCAGCTAAAAAGAGAAAGGAGACTAAGGAAGAGACTTTAAAAACACCTTTCTCCTGGCTGTTGCTTACTACATCTGCCTGCCACCTAAGGAGGAGAAGGAGGGAATCCTGCTGCTTCTCCCCGCCCTCCAACCAGCTAAAAGGAGAAAGGAGACTAAGGAAGAGACTTTAAAAACACTTGGTCTCCTGGCTATTGCTTACTACATCTACCTGCCACCTCAGGAGGAGAAGGAGGAAATCCTGCTGCTACTCCCCCCCCCCCCCCACCTGCCCTCAAACCAGCTAAAAGGAGAAAGGGGACTGAGGAAGAGACTTTAAAAACACCCGTCTCCTGGCGGTTGCTTATTATTTCTGTTGTGGTTTTATATTGTATTTAATGTTTTATGAAAGTGGGGCCACATTCGGAAAGGTCCCGGTCCCGTTTTTGGAAGCATCGCTTGAAAATGAAAATGGGGCCACATTTGGAAAGGTCCCGTTTTCGGAAGCAGCGCTTGAAAATGAAAATGGGGGCACATTCGGAAAGGTCCCGTTTTCGGAAGCATCGCTTGGAAATGAAAACGGGGCCACATTCGGAAAGGTCCCGGTCCCGCTTTCGGAAGCAGCATTTGAAAATGAAAATGGGGCCACATTCAGAAAGGTCCCGGTCCCGTTTTCGGAAGCATCGCTTGAAAATGAAAATGGGGCCACATTCGGAAAGGTCCCGTTATCGGAAGCATCGCTTGAAAATGAAAATGGGGCCACATTCAGAAAGGCCATCCGAATGAAACAAACCGAAATGCACAAGCCTAGCAGCTTGGCTACTTCAGAAACTCTGCCTAAAAGATCTCGAAGTTCCCTTTCGAAGTCAAGAGAGAGGCACAGCTTCCCTCCCCATTGATTTGCAATGGGTCTTGCAAAGATCAACTCAGGGCAATCTCAAGAACGAAACCCAGAGGCCAGGGCTTTCTTCTAAGGGAAGGTGGGGCACTCCTTGCCCGTGTGCCTGTGCGCAAATGTGTGCCTGCTTCCCTTCCTCCTGCTGTTGCCAAGGCTGGGCTAAGTGGCCTCCTGGCTTCTTTCCTCCATTTGGCTTCTCTGGGTCTGCCCCCCCCCCCTCTCGTCCTAATATCCAAGGCACAGAGTGGAGGATTTCTAGCCAGCCCACCCCCAGCTCGGAGAGGCGGGAGGGCATTGGCAAGGGAGCCGTAAGGAGAGCGTTTAAGCCTCCAGTAATTACCTGAAAGGGTCCATCACCAGCAAGCCTCCCCCTATGCATCTTCATCAACGTCAAGCAAAGTTGCCTGGCGCAGGGGGAGCTGTGGGGTGAGGTTGATAATGGCTCCACATTGGGGGAGTGGGGGGGGGGGGAGGAAAGGAAGCAGGCAGAAGAAAGATCGCCCCATCCCCCTGCAAGCTCATCCAGAAAGTGGATGGGCAAACCAAGGCTGTTTGCAAGCAGTGGGCACAAAGATGGTCCCGCTCACCATTCTGAAGGTACCTCGGAGGGTGTTGAACCCCCTCCAGGCTCTAAATGAGGGACCCCAGGGATGCAATTTCCACAGGGAAGAAACAACCAATGGTGTACATGTTGTAGGTTTTTTCGGGCTATATCGTCATGTTGTAGAGGCATTCTCTCCTGACGTTTCGCCTGCATCTATGGCAAGCATCCTCAGACGTAGTGAGGTCTGTTGGAATAGATGCAGGCAAAACGGCAGGAGAATGCCTCTACAACATGACGATATAGCCCGAAAAAACCTACAACAACCCAGTGATTCCAGCCATGAAAGCCTTCAACAATGGTGTATGTCTTTGCTTCAGATAAACGCCTTTGGCCTTGTGTTGTCAAAGGCTTTCATGCCCGGAATCACTGGGTTGCTGTGAGTTTTCTGGACTTTATAGCCATGTTCCAGAAGCATTCTATCCTGACGTTTTGCCCACATCTGGCAGGCATCCTCAGAGGTTGGGAGGTCTGCTTGAAACTAGGCAAGTGGGGTTGATAAACCCCATTTTCCTAGTTTACAACAGATCTCACAACCTCTGAGGATGCCTGAGAAATGTCAGGACCGAATGCTTCTGGAACATGGCCATACAGCCTGGAAAGATCACAACAACCCAGTGATTCCAGCCATGAAAGGCTTCGACAATACATTAATTTAAAAGGTTTGATAAAAAACATTTTCTGCATTTTGACAGTGTTTCTTTCTGCTATGCCAGCTATAGTGACCCACAGACCTCACCTCTGAGGATGCTTGCCATAGATGCAGGCGAAAATGTCAGGAGAGAATGCCTCTGAACATGGCCATACAGCCTGGAAAACTCACAACGACCCAGTGATTCCGGCCATGAAAGCCTTCGACAAACATGAAACGTATCGTCGAAGGCTTTCATGGCTGGAATCTGGGTTGTAATAGGTTTTTCAGGCTATATGGTCATGTTCTAGACCTCACAACCTCTGAGGATGCCTGCCATAGATGCAGGTGAAATGTCAGGAGAGAATGCTTCTTATTGTCGAAGGCTTCCATGGCTGGAATCACTGGGTTGTTGTAGGTTTTTCAGGCTATATGGCCATGTTCTAGACATCACAACCTCTGAGGATGCCTGCCATAGATGTAGGTAAAATGTCAGGAGTGAATGCTTCTTATTGTGGAAGGCTTCCATGGCTGGAATCACTGGGTTGTTGTAGGTTTTTCAGGCTATTTGGCCATGTTCTAGACCTCACAACCTCTGAAGATGCCTGCCATAGATGCAGGTGAAATGTCAGGAGAGAATACTTCTTATTGTTGAAGGCTTCCATGGCTGGAATCATTGTGATGTTGTAGGTTTTTCGGGCTATATGGCCATGTTCTAGACCTCACAACCTCTGAGGATGCCTGCCATAGATGCAGGTGAAATGTCAGGAGAGAATGCTTCTTATTGTGGAAGGCTTCCATGGCTGGAATCACTGGGTTGTTGTAGGTTTTTCGGGCTATATGGCCATGTTCTAGACCTCACAACCTCTGAGGATGCCTGCCATAGATGCAGGCGAAATGTCAGAGAGAATGCTTCTGGAACATGGCCATCTAGCCCAAAAAACCTACAACAACCCAATCATGAAACGATTTGCAAAAATATTCACAAAAATGGGCGTATAAAATATATACACAAAAATATTCCCCTCTAGGCAGTAGGGGAGGGACCCCAGAAATGCAATTTGCATAGGGAGGAAAGCAACCCTTTGCCTTTATGGGACTTTGCCTCTTCTCCCCATATTAGCCCCCGGTGGCGCAGTGGGCTAAAGCACTGAGCTGCTGAGCTTGTTGATCTAAAGGTCGCAGGTTCGATTCCGGGGAGCGGCGTGAGCTTCCGCTGTCAGCCCTAGCTTCTGCCAACCTAGCAGTTCGAAAACATGCAAATGTGAGTAGATCAATAGGTACCGCTCCGGCGGGAAGGTAATGGCAGTCATGCCGGCCACATGACCTTGGAGGTGTCTACGGACAATGCTGGCTCTTCAGCTTAGAAATGGAGATGACCACCACACCCCAGAGTCAGACATGACTGGACTTAATGTCAAGGGACAACCTTTACCTTTTACCCCATATTATATGGGTTTGACAGAGGGGAAAGCCCTCGGAGCTGAGTTTTCCAAGTACCCCAATGTGGTGGGCATGGGTCGGGAGGAATCAAAGGTGAATCTATGTGGGTCTGGGACAATTATCGGGTGGAGGATCGCAGCCACAGAGACTCACACTCCGGCTGCCACAAGTGGCTGCTCCCCCGCCCTTGCTCCCCCAACAACAACAAGCCCTGAGTCTTGCAGGCCCCTTGGGGGTGATCCAGGCAGATCAAACCCATTTAGAGCCTGAATCAATTCCAGCAGTGAATTAGCAGCTGATGCCTGGCTAAAGGGGGAGGAAGGGGGGACGTTAATGAAATGGGGAGGGGGGAGGAGAGGAGGAGGCAGCATGTGGAAAGAGTCAACACCCCGCTCTCTTTCAACACCACTTTCCATTCACAGAGGCACATGCCGGTCCTCTTTGCCTCTTCCGGCACAATGAGGAGAGGAGGAACCCATAGGACAGTGTTTCTCAACCTTCCTAATGTGCTGAGCATGGGGGAGAGGAAGAGGCAGGCACGGACCGCCAGGAAGTGAGATCTTACGGCTGATTCCGAACTTGGAGCTCTGTCCGCACTTGTTGAGGATGATGAGCATGATGGAGAGGAAGAGGCAGGCACAGACCGCCAGCACCACCGCCACCGATATCTGTGGGGAAGGAGGGAGCAGGGAAGAAGATGAACAGGATGAGGCATACCTCTACCCCGCTAGGGTCACTCTGCACATGCTCAAAAGCACTCTTTTCCTCTCCTTCTTCCTGTTGTCACTCTCTGGGATTTTCTGACGGAGGAAGCAGTGCTCCCTCGCTACTTCGCGGATCACTTTTAGCGGTATTCAAAAATTATTAATTAATCTATATAAATAAAAATGTAATGTTCGTATGTGCTATTCACAGAACTCAGAAACCACTGGGACCATTGACACCAAATTTGGACACTATGTCCCTAACAACCCAATGTACGTTCTCCACTCAAAAAAAACAATGAAAACAAAAAGCAGAAAGGACTTCTAAACTGCATGTCCACAAAGGAGAAACTGCATGTCTACCGAGACCCATGGCCACGTCCCCTTCTCCTCCTCGCGGGGAGACAGCTGGCCGTTAAAGCTTGAGGAGCCAGGCACGCATACATGCCCCTCACTCACACACATACGCGAGAACGGGCACTATGGGAGTGGAGGGGGAGGCTTGCCCCATGGAGCCCCTTCTCTTTCACTGCTCTGCGAGGAGGGCAGTCTCCTCCTCCTCCACCACTGTTGGAAGAGGCCAGCGGGTGGGGGACAGACTTTCTGTAGACCCTTCTTTCCTTTATAACTCTTTCTTTTCTGTCTGACCTGCTCGGCTGTCTCCGGCAACACGAGCACACATTTAACACACACACACACCCACACCCACACACACAGGAGGTAGCTGCCTCTGCCACACTCCACCCGAAAGGACTCCCTTCTCTCCCGTTAAAGCCAGGCGCACGTGCACGGCCACACACACACAAGAGAGTGGAGTGGAGGTTGAGGCTTGCCGCATGCAGCCCTTTCTCTTCCCCTCCTATGTCAGGAGAGCAGTCTCCTCCTATTCCTTTCCCTGTTGGAAAGTGCCAGCAGCAGCAACTGAGTGCAAGGAAGAAGGGGAGGAGGAGGAGGAGGAGGAGGAGGAGGAGGAGGAGGAGGAGGAGGAGGAGGAGGAGGAGGAGGAGGAGGAGGAGGAGGTGGAGGCGGTGAGGAAGGTCCACCGTGCTTGAATGAAGGACCTTCCTTCTTTCCCTCCCTTCCCTTCTTTCCTCCCTTTCCTTTCTTTCCTTTTCTTCTTTCCTTCTCCTTCCTTTCCTTCTTTCCCTCCTTCCCTTCTTTCCTGTCCCTCCTTCCTTTTTCCTTTCCTTCTTTTCCTCCTTCCCTCCCTTTCCTCCTTTCCCTTTCTTCATTTCCTTCCCCTTCATTCCCTCCTTTTTTCCCCCCTCCTTCTTTCCCTCCCTTCTCTCCTTCCTTCCTTCTTCCTTCCTTCCTCCCTTCCTGTCCCTCCTTCTTTCTTTTCCTTCCTTCCCTTCTTTCCCTCCCTCCCTTCCTTTTTCCTTCCTTCCTGTCCCTCCTTCCTTCCTTCTTCCTTTCCTTCTTTCTATGTAAGATATAAATACAATATTAAATGGAAGGGACAGTCAAGAAATAACGAGGGAAGGAGGGAAAAAGGAAAGGAAGGAAGGAGAGAAGGAGGGAGGGAAAGAAGGAAAGAAAAAAGATAGAGAAGCAAGGAAGGAAATAAAAAAGTGAAAGGAAAAAGAGAGGGAAGGAAGGAGAGAAGGAACGAAAGATAGGGAAGGAAGGAAGGATGTAACCAAAGAGCAAAGAAAGGGAGGAAAGAAACAGGTAGAGATGGAAGAAAGATGAGAGATAGGGAAAGAAAAAGAGGAAAGGAAGGAAAGAGGGAAGGGAGGAGAGAAAGAGGGAGGGAAGGTTGGCCACAGCAACGTGTGGCGGGTACAGCTAGTTGAAAATATATATTTTCACTGTTTCGCAGGTTTTTGCCGCCGCCGCTCTCCAAGGTGCTTTCCCTCCTCAGTCCTCCCTCCCTCCAGCCTTGAAGGGTCTTTCCTTCCTTTCCTTCACTTTATTTTAAGTTTATAAAGACTTAAAATAGTGTATTACTACTAAAACAATGTATAAATATTAAAATAAATATAGCGTCCCTACATCACGGTTTTTCACTTATTGCGGGAAGTCCTGGAACGTAATCCCCGCAATAAATGAGGGAACACTGTATATGTTTTTGTGCAGTGGCATATCTTTGTCCCTAACAGTTGAAAGAGATATCTAGGTATATCAGTCTAACAGTTGAGAAACCTAATTGCCTTGAATGAATACTAGTGGATATTTATCATTAAAGGGAAGATTGAGTAAAGTATGATCTTCTCAGGAAAATATTACAAAATATTACAATCTCTATCAAGGCCTTACCAAAAGATTCCTGGTTTTCCCAAATGGTAACTAGTAATATTTTCTACAACTTTCTGATCGAGGAACTATGGAAAGGCAACACAGTCAGGCCCTCTCTGGTCACGCTGCTAAATCCCCCCCCCACCCCCCCACCCCTCTCCCCAATTCACATGACATCAAAGGGTCTCTCACCCCGATTGGCTGTTCCTGCAGAGTCTCCACAGGGTTTTGTTCCGTGCTGTTCTTATAGTCGTCGCTGCCTGTGTGTGAAAAAGCAGGGAGGATCTCTCAAGTGTGGGCTGCTGAGAAGACGTAACTCCTATTGTCATAAGAACTCTCTAACTATCAATAAATCAAAGTCAAAAATAATGGTATTTGGCAAACGACATAATAGTCATAGATGGCTTCTGGATGTCAAATCAAAGTGAGGTGCAAGGGCATTCATTCCATATTGTAAACGCACCATGAAAAGGCTATGGACCTTGGAAAACTATTATTCCCAGCACTGCACAGCATGGAGACATGGCATAACAACAACAACAACAACAACAACAACAACAACAACAACAACAACAACAGCATTTAAAATGGGTCCCTGCTACATTTATTCTCCAGTGCAAATGCACCCAGAGCAGGGTTTGGATCTTGGGAAACTGCAGCTCCCAGGACCATCTCATGGAGACATAGCATTCGAAGTAAGGTCCAGCTCCACTCATTCCATAGTATATATTTTCCCTAACAAGGGTACTTTTGGCTCCTCCCACAATTTCCCCTCCCACAAATTGGGGAAACGTCTCATTTTAATTCTGAGAGCAACGAATGCCATCACATTACTGAACGGGCCAGTCATCCATATCATTCCCCCCAAAATCCACTTCCCTACCACATCTTCAAACGTTTGAAAAGAATGCTGCTCCCAACACTTGAAATACACGAAGAATGCTCTACCCTACACTTGAACCCAAACTAATGTGATGAGGAGAGTGGCTTCCCGGATTTTAAGTGTAGCACTCAGTGGGATTTAGTAAATGTGATGAAGTGGTTAAAATACGCAAAGAATGCTCTATCCTACATTTGAAGCCAAACTAATGTGATGAGGAGAGTGGCTTTCCGGATTTTAAGTGTAGCATTCAGTGAGATTTAGTAAATATGATGAAGTGGTTAAAATACGCAAAGAATGCTCTATCCTACACTTGAACCCAAACTAATGTGATGAGGAGAGTGGCTTCCTGGATTTTAAGTGTAGCACTCAGTGGGATTTAGTAAATGTGATGAAGTGGTTAAAATACGCAAAGAATGCTCTATCCTACACTTGAAGCCAAACTAATGTGATGAGGAGAGTGGCTTCCCAGATTTTAAGTGTAGCACTCAGTGGGATTTAGTAAATGTGATGAAGTGGTTAAAATACGCAAAGAATGCTCTACCCTACACTTGAAGCCAAACTAATGTGATGAGGAGAGTGGCTTCCCAGATTTTAAGTGTAGCACTCAGTGGGATTTAGTAAATATGATGAAGTGGTTAAAATACGCAAAGAATGCTCTATCCTACACTTGAACCCAAACTAATGTGATGAGGAGAGTGGCTTCCTGGATTTTAAGTGTAGCACTCAGTGGGATTTAGTAAATGTGATGAAGTGGTTAAAATACGCAAAGAATGCTCTATCCTACACTTGAAGCCAAACTAATGTGATGAGGAGAGTGGCTTCCCAGATTTTAAGTGTAGCACTCAGTGGGATTTAGTAAATGTGATGAAGTGGTTAAAATACGCAAAGAATGCTCTACCCTACACTTGAAGCCAAACTAATGTGATGAGGAGAGTGGCTTCCCAGATTTTAAGTGAAGCACTCAGTGGGATTTAGTAAATGTGATGAAGTGGTTAAAATACGCAAAGAATGCTCCACCTTACACTTGGACCCAAACTAATGTGATGAGGGGAGTGGCCTTCTGGATTTTAGGAGTAGCTCTTAAATGTGATGAAGTGGTTAAAATACGCAAAGAATGCTCTACCCTACACTTGAACCCAAACTAATGTGATGAGGAGAGTGGCTTCCTGGATTTTAAGTGCAGTACTCAGTGGGATTTAGTAAATGTGATGAAGTGGTTAAAATACGCAAAGAATGCTCTACCCTACACTTGGACCCAAACTAATGTGATGAGGGGAGTGGCCTTCTGGATTTTAGGTGTAGCTCTTAAATGTGATGAAGTGGTTAAAATACATGAAGAATGCTCTACCCTATACTTGGACCCAAACTAATGTGATGAGGAGAGTGGCTTCCTGGATTTTAAGTGCAGTACTCAGTGGGATTTAGTAAATGTGATGAAGTGGTTAAAAAAAGCAAAGAATGCTCTACCCTACACTTGAACCCCAACTAATGTGATGAGAAGAGTGGCTTCCCGGATTTTAAGTGTAGCACTCAGTGGGATTTAGTAAATGTGATGAAGTGGTTAAAATACGGAAAGAATGCTCTACCCTACACTTGAACCCGAACTAATGTGATGAGAAGAGTGGCTTCCCGGATTTTAAGTATAGCACTCAGTGGGGTTTAGTAAATGTGATGAAGTGGTTAAAATACGCAAAGAATTCTCTACCCCAAACTAATGTGATGAGTAGAGTGGCCTTCCTGGATTTTAAGTGTAGCACTCAGTGAGATTTAGTAAATGTGATGAAGTGGTTAAAATACACAAAGAATGCTCTACCCAAACTAATGTGATAAGGAGAGTGGCTTCCCGAATTTTAAGTGTAGCACTCAGTGGGATTTAGTAAATGTTATGAAGTGGTTAAAATATGCAAAGAATGCTCTACCCTACACTTGAACTCAAACTAATGTGATGAGGAGAGTGGCTTCCTGGATTTTAAGTGTAGCACTCAGTGGGATTTAGTAAATGTGATGAAGTGGTTAAAATACGCAAAGAATGCTCAATCCAAACTAATGTGATGAGGAGAGTGGCTTCCCGGATTTTAAGTGTCGCACTCAGTGGGATTTAGTAAATGTGATGAAGTGGTTAAAATACGCAAAGAATGCTCTACCCTACACTTGAACCCAAACTAATGTGATGAGAAGAGTGGCTTCCCGGATTTTAAGTATAGCACTCAGTGGGGTTTAGTAAATGTGACAAAGTGGTTAAAATACGCAAAGAATGCTCTATCCTACATTTGAAAGTCAGAATGTACCTTGGCAAACTCCCCTCCTCATAAAGACTTACTTGTCGTTGGAATCTCCACCGGATCCACGAGGTTGAAGTTTGCGTCGGGCATGTCCATGAATTGCTGGAAGACGGTGTAGGAGTCGCTGCCCAGAGGATTGCGCACGAAGAGAGTGTAGTTGCCGTTGGAGAGGTGGGTGGGCCTGTCCAGGTAGAGGCAGCCGTGGAGGAGGGTGGAATTCCGTGGCCCATCCAGGAAGAAGTAAGTGTGGATGAAGGTGGTCTCCTCCAGGTCGGTGCCCCCAAACTGCCAGCGGATGCTAGGGCTGGGGTTGCCATCCACCGAGAAGGGCACGCACCACTTGTGGAACGCCACGGCCTGGCCCAGGTCGCGGATCACGGCGGGGACTGCAAAGACACGGAAAGTGTCAGTTGTGCTGTGGGGCTGAGAACCCACCTTTTGTCCACAAGGCCACAAAGCATCATCATCCCCTCCCTACTTTGCCCTCCGTGACCACTTTCTTTGCCTTTGAGACAGCCGTAAGGTGGCATACTAGAGAGTCAGAAAGCAGCCAAGCTTTGAAGCTGCAAAGCTATTCAGTGCTAATCAAGGTGATCAATTGCAACCTTCACACTTGACTTCTTTCTACCAACCTGGACATGATTCCACAGATATATAAACCCAACTTGCCTAGTTTCCAACAGACCTCACAACCTCTGAGGGTGTCTGGCTTAGATGTGGGTGAAACGTCAGGAGAGACGCTTACAAGTAAAAAGTAAATACAATATATTATTATTATCATAGCACAATATTAATATTATATATTACATTATACTATTACATTATACTCTAATATTATTAGTAATATTACATTCAATCTATATAAATAAAAATTCGTTTGTGCTATTCCCAGAACTCAGAAACCACTGGGGCAATTGACACCAAATTTGGACCCTATGTCCCTAACAACCCAATGTATGGTCTCCACTCAAAAAAATCAATGAAAACAAAAAGCAGAAAGGACTTCTAAACTGCATGTCCACAAAGGAGAAACTGCATGTCTACGGAGACCCATGGCCACGGCTCCTCCTCCTCGTGGAGAAACAGCCAGCCGTTAAAGCCAGGCGCACGTGCATGGCCACACACACACACACAAGCGAGTGGAGTGGAGGTGGAGGCTTGCCACATGCAGCCCCTTCTCTTCCCCTCCTATGTCAGGAGAGCAGTCTCCTCCTCCTTTCCCTGTTGGAAAGTGCCAGCAGCAGCAACGGAGTGCTCCACGCAAGGAAGAAGGGGAGGAGGAGGAGGAGGAGGAGGAGGAGGAGGGGTGGCGAGGAAGGTCCACGGTGCTTGAATGAAGGACCTTCCTTCTCTCCCTCCCTTCCCTTCTTTCCTCCCTTCCTTTCTTCTTCCTTCTCTTTCTTCCTTCTTTCCCTCCTTCCCTTCCTTCCTGTCCCTCCTTCCTTTCTTTTCCTTCTTTCCTTCTCCCTTCTTCCTTCTTTCCCTTTTTCATTTCCTTCCCTCTTCTTTCCTTCCTTCTCCCTTCTTTCCTCCTTCCTTCCCTCCTTCTTCCTCCTCTCCTCTCCTTCCTCCCTCCCTCCTCCTCCCTCCTTTTTCTTTTCCTTCTTCCTCTTCCCTCCCTCCCTTCCTTTTTCCTTCCTTCCTGTCCCTCCTTCCTTCTCCTTTCCTTCTTTTCCTCCCTCCCTTTCCTCCTTCTTTCCCTTTCTTCATTTCCTCCCCCTTCATTTCCTTCCCTCCCTCCTTTCTTCATCCCCCTCCTTTCTTTCCCTCCCTCCTTCCTTCCTCCCTCCCTTCCTCCCTCCTTCTTTCTTTTCATTCCTTCCTGTCCCTCCTTCCTTCCTTCTTCCGTTCCTTCTTTCTAAAATATAAATACAATATTAAATGGAAGGGACAGTCAAGAAGTAATGAGAGAAGGAGGGGAAAAGGGAACGAAGGAGAGAAGCAGGGAGGGAAAGAAGGAAAGAAAGAAAGATAGAGAAGCAAGGAAGGAGAGAGGAAAATTTAAAAAGTGGAAGGAAACAGAGAGGGAATGAAGGAGAGAAGGAACAAAAGATAGGGAAGGAAGGAAGGAACCAAAGAGCAAAGAAAGGGAGGGAAGAAACAGGTAGAGAAGGAAGAAAGATGAGAGATAGGGAAAGAAAAAGAGGAAAGGAAGGAAAGAGGGAAGGAAGGAGAGAAAGAGGGAGGGAAGGTTGGCCACAGCAACGTGTGGCGGGTACAGCTAGTATATTATTATCATAGCACAATATTAATATTATATATTACATTGTACTATATACATTATACTGTAATATTATTAGTAATATTACATTTAATATAAAATATATAATTATAATATCATTTAATTAATATGTAATATGGCAGCCTTTGTAGTGACGGTGAATAGATCAGTAGATAGAGATGAAAGATGGCTGGTAGTGAAAACCTATCCCTTGCTTTAAGGTTCTCAAGTTATCTGTCCTGCCAATCCTAATTATGTCACTAGATGAATATTCTGAAATCCCCCGTCTCTTTCTCAAGTTTCCAGTCCATCCTTTGGAATTTTCCATCTCTTTGTCTTCCTTAGAATGTGGTTAGACAGAGCGTACTATTAACAATGCAGATTACTTTTAATGTTTATTTTGCATAGAATTATGGAAAAAATAGACCCCTGTCTGATTCCACAGCAAGCTGGCTTCAGGAAAGGCAAAAGCTGCACATCGCAAGTGCTGAACCTGACTCAGCACATAGAAGATGGCTTTGAAAGGCAGCACAGTGGGTGGGCCAAATGCACGACATAAAATGATAAAACTCTCATGACCATTGTCCCCAACTTGGGTGGGTTTTAGGGGGACCCCGTGCTATTCTTACATGTCACGTTGAGCTGGGCGACCCCTTCGCTCAAGCCGGCCTCGTTCTCTGCTTGGCAGGTGATGTTTTGGAGATTAAAATCCGCCGAAACGCTGAACACTTGCAGTGTGGTTTCTGAGGCTGATTCCTGGAGAAAAAAGGAGCCAAAGGTGGTGACTGGCACCAGTCCCACCAACCACTGCCTTTTTCTGATACTTTCAAGCTCTGGTCCAAGGGTAATGAATCCCTTACCTTAGCTGGCTGGCTGAAACCTAAGGGAGTGGGCCTGGCGAAGCCACGGCGTCCATTTTAGAAAAGGAAGCTGGTGGAAGCCATTTTAGTTAGGTTTTCCTTTAGGGGGGGTGGGTGTTCAAATCTTAGAGAGAAAATAAGGAGGCTAAGATTGGCTAGAAACAGAGGCTTGAAGTCCCAGTTAGTCGGAGTTGGAAATTGGAGTTGGAGTTGGAAGTTGGAGTTGGAGTTGGAGAGTTAGTGTTAGTCAGAGCGAGTTTGGGTTTAGAGAAGAAGACTGGGTTAGTCTTTTGTGAGGTATTCAGAGTAGCTACTAGTAGATAGCTAGTATACTGTTGTGGAGCAGGGCCCAGTTAGTGGAAGGTTCAATTCCTAGGGAAGTCTAGTTCAGGGTGTTTTTGGCTAGATTCTTAAGGGGCAGTTTTGGGAGTTACTTTCAGAGATTAATTTCCTGAAGTAATTTTCTGTGGTGAAACTTTGAAGACTTGTAACCCAGAAGAGCTTAAGATTTTACTCTAACGCAACCACAAGCTTTTCATGCCAGTATTTTCTGAAACCACTAAGCATTTGTACCTGAATTATTTCAAGCTTGTTCAATAAACATTCTTGTTCTTTTATTAACTTATACCAGCCTCAGTGTGTGTACCTTGGTGGTCAAAGTATTTCTAAAGTCAGCTTCACAGCAGCCACTAAGAAACTATAGTGGCACATTGTGTGTTACAGAACAAACTCACAATATTACCTCAGCCTGATTAATACTGGAATGGTGGCAGCGGAATTCATTTGAAGAGGCATTTCAGTCTCTCAGTTCTATGTTTTTATATGTACTGATTTGTTGGAAACCACCTTGAGTCATCGATTGGCTGAGAAAGGCGGTATATAAATACAGTAAATCTATATAAATAAAAATGTAATGTTCGTTTGTGGTATTCACAGAACTCAAAAACCACTGGGGCAATTGGCATCAAATTTGGACACTATGTCCCTAACAACCCAATGTATGTTCTCCACTCAAAAAAACAACGAAAACAAAAAGCAGAAAGGACTTCTAAACTGCATGTCCACAAAAGGGAAACTGCATGTCTACAGAGACCCATGGCCACGCCCCCTCCTCCTCACGGGGAAATAGCCGGCTGTTAAAGCATGAGGAGCCAGGTGCACGTGCATGCCCCCCCCCACACACAAACACACAAGTGAAAGTGGGCACCATGGGAGTGGAGGGGGAGGCTTGCCGCATGGAGCCTCTTCTCTTTCCCTGCTCTGCCAGGAGGGCAGTCTCCTCCTCCTCCACCACCACCTTTCCCTGTTGGAAGAGGCCGGCAGGTGTGGGAGGAACTTTCTGTAGACCCTTCTTTCTTTCTTAACTCTTTCTGTCTGACCTGCTTGTCTGTCTCTGGCAACACAAGCACACATTTAACACACACACACACAGGAGGTAGCTGCCTCTGCCACACTCCACCCGAAAGGACTCCCTTCCCTTCTTTCCTCCCTCCCTTTCTTTGCTTTTCTTCCTTCCTTCCCCTTCCTTGCCTTCCTTCCTCCTTCCTTCCTGTCCCACCCTCCTTCCTTCTCCTTCCTTTCCTTCTTTCCCTCCTTCCCTTCCTTCCTGTCCCTCCTTTCTTTTTCCTTTCCTTCCTTTCCTTCTTTTCCTTCTTCCCTCCCTTCCTTTCCTCCTTCTTTCCCTTTCTTCATTTCCTTCCCCCTTCATTTCCTTCCCTCCCTCTTTTCTTCACCCCCTCCTTCCTTTCCCTCCTTCCTTCTCCTTCCTTTCCTTCCTGTCCCTTCTTTCTTTTCCTTCCTTTCTTTCCCTCCTTTCTTCCTTCTTCCTTTCCTTCTTTCTATGTAAGATATAAATACAATATTTTATATATTGTTATATAGATTACTATACAATATGTTACTATTATAATATTACTATTATAATAGTATTACTAATAATATTACTATATAATGCAAATTAAATGGAAGGGACAGTCAAGAAGTAACGAGGGAAAGAGGAGAAAGAAGGAGGGAAAGGGGGAAGGAAGGAGACAAGGAGGGAGGGAAAGAAGAAAGAAAGGAAAGAAAGAAAAGCAAGGAAGGAGAGAAGGAAATAAAAAAGCGAAAGGAAAAAGAGAGTGAAAGAAGGAGAGAAGGAACAAAAGACAAGGAAGGAAGGAAGGAAGGAAGGAAGGAAGCAACCGAAGAGCAAAGAACCAGTACGTGTGAAAAAGATCTTGGAGTCCTCATGGACAACAAGTTAAACATGAGCCAACATGTCATGTGGCGGCAAAAAAAGCCAATGGGATTTTGGCCTGCATCAATAGGAGCCTAGTGTCTAGATCTAAGAAAGTCATGCTCCCCATGCTCTATTCTGTTTTGGTTAGACCACACCTGGAATATTGTATCCAATTCTGGGTACCACAGTTCAAGAGAGATATTGACAAGCTGGAATGTGTCCAGAGGAGAGCGACTGAAATGAGAAAGGGTCTGGAGAACAAGCCCTATGAGGAGCGGCTTAAGGAGCTGGGCATGTTTAGCCTGAAGAAGAGAAGGCTGAGAGGGGATATGATAGCCATGTATAAATATGTGAGAAGAAGCCACAGGGAGGAGGGAGCAAGCTTGTTTTCTGCTTCCCTGGAGACTAGGACGCGGAACAATGGCTTCAATCTACAAGAGAGGAGATTCCATCTGAACATGAGGAAGAACTTCCTGACTGTGAGAGCCGTTCAGCAGTGGAACTCTCTGCCCCGGAGTGTGGTGGAGGCTCCTTCTTTGGAAGCTTTTAAACAGAGGCTGGATAGCCATCTGTCAGGGGTGATTTGAATGCAACATTCCTGCTTCTTGGCAGGGGGTTGGACTGGATGGCCCAGGAGGTCTCTTCCAACTCTAGGTTCTATGATTCTATGATTCTATAAGCGGGGAAAGAAACAGGTAGAGATGGAAGAAAGAAGAGAAATAGGAAGGGAAAGAAATAGAGGGAAGGAAGGAAAGAGGGAAGGAAGGAAAGAAAGAGGGAGGGAAGTTTGGCCACAGCAACGCGTGGCGGGTACAGCTAGCAAATAAATAAATAAATAAATAAATAAATAAATAAATAAATAATGTTTCCCAGTTCCTACCGTTTAAAATGCTAGTGTCTCTCCCCTTCTCTGCTCTTATCTCCCCTGATATTGGTATAATCAGTGGGACATATTTCATCAATTAAAATAAAGAGAAATTTAAATATACAGTTCTTTCAACAACCATACTCCCTCTTCTTTTCGACGGCTTTGTAATTTTGGTGAGCACGCGTTTGTATTTTAGGAGGTGCCTGTGATTATAATGCACTCTGGAATAATCCGTTTCCAAGTGGGCAAGGAGGCAGAACTGTGGGATGGATCCTCTCTGCCAACATTTGTGAGTTCTTCAGATGCCACCAGGCACATTTTCTCCCCACTTCCAAACTTAGTGGTTCCCTGCCAACCCGATACTCACATGGGTGATGAGGGGGGAGGGACCCCCAAAGTCTGGCACGCTCCACTTGACTTCTGGGGGTGGCTGCCCTTCGACGTGGCACCTCAATGTGGCGTTCATGCCCTCCCTCATAGGGGCACTATTGTACTCGATCCAAACTTGGGGCATCTCTAGCAGAGGGAAGAGAATGCAATCGGGATGTTGGGTATTAATATAAAGAGTAGCCACCTCTAGGCTTGAGCAAACTTCGTCCCTCCAAGTGTTTTGGACTTCAACTTCCACAATTCCTAACAGTCTCGACCACCTCCTATGGGACACATGGGCTTAACCATGCAACCCCCGGAAAGTAGTACTGCCTGTCCCACTCAGGAAGAAGGATGCATGTCAACAAAACATGCACACAGGATCAGAGGCTATAGTTAATTAAGCAAGTGAGGTTGCTCATGACCCCCCCCCCCCCCCCCCCCCCCCCCCCCCGGCCGTATTGCTTACCACAGCCCTGGATGTTCATGTCAACCAGTGGTACCTCCACCCCATCGTCCCACTCGCAGGACAAGGACTGGTTGCCCATTGATTCAGCTTGCTTGCCCACCAGCCACAGTTGCAGCCACCGAAGGCCACAGGCGCACCGGAGTGGATTCCCCGTGAGGACCCTGCAAGGAAAGGAAATTATTATTATTATTATTATTATTATTATTATTATTATCATCATCATCATCATCATCATCATTATTATCATTATTATTATTATTATTTGAATAATATTATTCATTATTATTATTATTATTATTTGAATAATATTATTCATTATTATTATTATTATTTGAATAATATTATTCATTATTATTATTATTATTATTATTATTATTATTATTATTATTTGAGTGGCGCAGTGGGTTAAACCCTTGTGCTGGCAGGACTGCAGACCGACAGGTCACAGGTTTGAATCTGAAGAGAGGTGGATGAGCTCCCTCTATCAGCTCCAGCTCCTCATGCGGGGACATGAGAGAAACCTCCCACAAGGATGATAAAAACATCAAAATAATCTGGGCGTCCCCTGGGCAACGTCCTTGCAGACGCCCAATTCTCTCACACCAGAAGCGACTTGCAGTTTCTCAAGTTGCTCCTGACACGACCAAAAAAAATTTTTTTGAAACACAACAAGATGAGTCCACAGCAGACAAGATCACTCTGCTGGCTGTTGTATTGGATTACAGGTTGGACACTTCCCAAGTTGTTGTTGTTATATTCTGCTTTTATCTCAATTGAGACACAAAGTGGCTCACAACATTAAAAAGCAGTGCAGTTTAAGATCCACGATATAAGTTGCTATGAGTTTTCTGGGCTGTCTGGCCATGTTCCAGAAGCATTCTCTCCTGATGTTTCACCCACATCTATGGCAGGCATCCTCAGAGGTTGTGAGGTCTGTTGGAAATGAAACAAGTCTGTGGAATAATGTCCAGGGTGGGAGAAAGAACTCTTGTCTGTTGGAGGCAAGTGTGAATGTTGCAATTAACTAGCTTCATTAGCACTGAATAGCCTTGCAGCTTCAAAGCTTGGCTGTTTCCTGTCTGGGCCCTGATTGTTTGCTGTCTGAAATACCCCTAAATAGTTGCAAGGCTATTCAGTGCTAATGAAGCTAGTTAATTGCAACATTCACACTTGCCTCCAACAGACAAGAGTTCTTTCTCCCACCTTGGACATTATTCCACAGACTTGTTTAGTTTCACAGAATCATAGAATCAAAGAGTTGGAAGAGACCTCATGGGCCATCCAGTCCAACCCCCTGCCAAAAAGCAGGAATATTGCATTCAGAGCACCCCTGACAGATGGCCATCCAGCCTCTGTTTAAAAGCCTCCAAAGAAGGAGCTTCCACCACACTCTGGGGCAGAGAGTTCCACTGCTGAACAGCTCTCACAGTCAGGAAGTTCAGGGAGGGCGACTAAAATGATCAAGGGTCTGGAGAACAAGCCCTATGAGGAGCGGCTTAAGGAGCTGGGCATGTTTAGCCTGAAGAAGAGAAGGCTGAGAGGAGATATGATAGCCATGTATAAATATGTGAGAGGAAGCCACAGGGTGGAGGGAGCAAGCTTGTTTTCTGCTTCCTTGGAGAATGTGAGAAAGAACTTCCTGACTGTGAGAGCCGTTCAGCAGTGGAACTCTCTGCCCCGAAGTGTGGTGGAGCTCCTTCTTTGGAAGCTTTTAAACAGAGGCTGGATGGCCATCTGTCAGGAATGCAATATTCCTGCTTCTTGGCAGGGGGTTGGACTGGATGGCCGATGAGGTCTCTTCCAACTCTTTGATTCTATGAAACTAAACAAATCTGTAGAATAATGTCCAGGGTGGGAGAAAGAACTCTTGTCTGTTGGAGGCAAGTGTGAATGTTGCAATTAGCCACCTTGATTAGCACTGAATAGCCTTGCAACTATTTAGGAGTATTTCAGACAGCAAACAATCAGGGCCTACTAACACCTCTTAACAATCTCTATGATTCTATGATTCTAAGGAGCCTCCACCACACTCTGGGGCAGAGAGTTCCACTGCTGAATGGCTCTCACAGTCAGGAAATTCTTCCTAACTGTGAGAGCCATTCAGCAGTGGAACTCTCCAACTTTCCAACAGACCTCACAACCTCTGAGGATGCCTCCCATAGATGTGGGTGAAACACTTGTCTCCAACAGGCAAGAGTTCGTTCTCCCACTCTGGACAGATATATCAACCCCACTTGCCTAGTTTCCAACAGTCCACACAAGCTCTGAAGATGCCTGCTATAGATGTAGGTGAAACGTCAGGAGAGAATGCTTCTGAGACATGGCCAGACAGCCAGGAAAACTCACAGAAACTCAGTGATTCCGGCCATTAAAGCCTTTAACAACATATCTATCTAAATAAAAATATAATGTTCGTTTGTGCTATTCCCAGAACTCAGAAACCACTGGGGCAATTCACACCAAATTTGGACACTATGTCCCTAACAACCCAATGTATGTTCTGCACTCAAAAAAACAACAAAAACAAAAAGCAGAAAGGATTTCTAAGGGGAAACTGCATGTCTACTGAGACCCATGGGCACGCCCCCCCCCCTCGCGGGGAAACAGCCGGCCGTTAAAGCCAGGCGCACGTGCACGGCCACACACACACACACACACAAGCGAGTGGAGTGGAGGTGGAGGCATGCCGCATGCAGCCCCTTCTCTTTCCCTCCTATGTCAGGAGAGCAGTCTCCTCCTCCTCCTTTCCCTGTTGGGAAAGCAGCAGCAACGGAGCATCCACACAAGGAAGAAGGGGAGGGGAGGGGGAGGAGGCGAGGAAGGTCCACGGTGCTTGAATGAAGGACCTTCCTTCTCTCCCTCCCTTCCTTCTTTCCTCCCTTTCCTTCCTTTCCTTCCTTTTCTTCTTTCCTTCTCCTTCCTTTCTTTCTTTCCCTCCTTCCTTCTTCCTTCCTCCTTCTTTCCTTCTTTTCCTCCCTCCCTCCTCTTCCTCCTTCTTTCCCTTTCTTCATTTCCTTCCCTTCATTTCCTTCCCTCCCTCCTTTCTTCATCCCCCTCCTTTCTTTCCCTCCTTCCTTCATCCTTCCTTCCTTCCTTCCTTCCTTCCTTCCTTCCTTCCTTCCTTCCTTCCTTCCTTCCTGTCTCTCCTTCTTTCTTTTTCTTCCTTCCTGTCCCTCCTTCCTTCCTTCTTCCTTTCCTTCTTTCTATGTAAGATATAAATACAATATGAAATGGAAGGGACAGTCAAGAGGTAACAAGAGAAGGAAGGAGAAAGGGAAGGAAGGAAGGAAGGAAGGAAGGAAGGAAGGAAGGAAGGAAGGAGAGAAGCAAGGAGGGAAAGAAGGAAAGAAAGAAAGATAGAGAAGCAAGGAAGGAGAGAAGGAAATAAAAAAGTGAAAAAGAGAGGGAAGGAAGGAGAGAAGGAACAAAAGATCGGGAAGGAAGGAACCAAAGAGCAAAGAAAGGGAGGAAAGAAACAGGTAAAGATGGAAGAAAGATGGAAAGGAAGGAAAGAGGGAAGGAAAGAGAGAAAGATGGAAAGGAAGGAAAGAGGGAAGGAAGGAGAGAAAGAGGGAGGGAAGGTTGGCCACAGCAACGCGTGCCAGGTACAGCTAGTTCACACATAAAACAGAATTTAACAAACCAGTCAATAAAAATCCCTTAAAACACTTTAGATGAAAACTAACAACAACAACAACAATGGTCCATTCTGACAAGCCAGTTCTGTGGACGGTGGGGACGAAAACTCTTTTTTGGATTGCACAAAGGAATTTTGCTTATGCGTGCAAGGGACTGACTTACAGTTCTTGAAGGCGGAGGTGGTGGAAGATCCTCCAGGACAGGAACTGCAGCCGGTTGTACCCGAGGTTGCTGTGGGGGGAGAGAAGGAGAGGCCCGTATATAAGCGGATGGCCATTTCTCACCAACCCTAACAGGAAGCCATTTGAGGAACAATGGAGCAATGGTTTCAATTGGCAGGAAAAGGGATTCCACTTCCTAATGGCAGGAGCTGTCCAGCAGGAGCTGTCCTCCATCTCCTGCTCTGGAAGTTTCTAAGCAGAGGCTAGATGGCCGTCTGTTAGGAGTGATTTGATTGGCTATATATGCTGTAATCTGCTCTGAGACTCCTCGGGGAGATAGGGCGGAATATAAATAAAGTATTATTATTATTATTATATTATTATTATTATTATTATTATTATTATATTATTATTATTATTATTATATCTATATAAATAAAAATGTAATGTTCATTTGTGGGATTAACAGGACTCAAAAACCACTGGACGAATTGACACCAAATTTGGACACAAGACACCTAACAACCCAATGTATGCCCTTCACTCCAAAAAATTGATTTTGTCATTTGGGAGTTGTAGTTGCTGGGATTTATAGTTCACCTACAATCAAAGAGCATTCTGAACCCCACCAACGATGGAATTGAACCAAACTTGGCACACAGTTCTCCCATGACCAACAGAAAATACTGGAAGGGTTTGGTGGCAGTGTCCTTTGGTTTTGGAGTTGTAGTTCACCTACATCCAGAAAGCACTGTGGACTCAAACAATGATGGATCTGGACCAAACTCTACATGAATACTCAATATGCCCAAATGTGAACACTGGTGGAGTTTGGGGAAAATAGATCTTGACATTTGGGAGTTGTAGTTGCTGGGATTTATAGTTCACCTACAATCAAAGAGCATTCTGAACCCCACCAACGATGGAATTGAACCAAACTTGGCACACAGAACTCCCATGACCAACATAAAATACTGGAAGGGTTTGGTGGGCAGTGTCCTTTGGTTTGGGAGTTGTAGTTCACCTACATCCAGAGAGCACTGTGGACTCAAACAATGATGGATCTGGACCAAACTTGCATGAATACTCAATATGCCCAAATGTGAACACTGGTGGAGTTTGGGGAAAATAGAATCCTGACATTTGGGAGTTGTAGTTGCTGGGATTTATAGTTCACATAAAATCACAGAGCATTCCAAACCCCACCAATGATAGAATTGGGCCAAACCTCCCACACAGAACCCCCATGTGGGCCACAGCAATGCATGGCAGGGAATGGCTAGTTAATAATAATATTAGATACACAACAGGATTAGTACACAGCAAACAAGATCACTATGCTGGCTTTTGTATTTGATCACACGTCGGACACTTCCCAAGTGTCTAGGACTGTGTGATGTATCGGCAAATAATGCATGCAGATCCGAGTAGGGTGGCCTTTTGCAGCTGACAGATGGTAATTTTGTCAGCGCCGATTGTTTTTAAGTGCAGGTCAAGGTCTTTAGACACTGCACCCAATGTGCCAATCACCACTGGGACTATTATTATTATTTTACGGTGGTCACAGCAAAGCTGTAACAAGTAGGAGCTGGATAGCAATTTTGTCAGTGCCTATTGTTTTTAAGTGCAGGTCAAGGTTTTTAGACACTGCGCCCTATATGCTGATCACGACTGGGACTATTATTATTATTTTACGGTGGCGACACCAAAGCTGTAACAAGTGGGAGCTGGATAGCCATTTTGTCAGTGCTGATTGTTTTTAAGTGCAGGCCAAAGTATTTAGGCACTGCTCCCAGTGTGCTAATCACCACTGGGACTATTATTATTATTTTACGGTGGTCACGCCAAAGCTGTAACAAGTGGGAGCTGGATAGCAATTTTGTCAGTGCTGATTGTTTTTAAGTGCAGGTCAAGGTCTTTAGACACTGCACCCTATATGCTGATCACCACTGGGACTATTATTATTATTTTAATATATTATTATTATTATTATTATTATTATTATTATTATTATTATTTTACGGTGGCCACACCAAAACTGTAACAAGTGGGAGCTGGATAGCCATTTTGTCAGTGCTGATTGTTTTTAAGTGCAGGCCAAAGTCTTTAGGCACTGCTCCCAGTGTGCTAATCACTAGGCTTGGGCGGTTTCGTTCGTTAATTTTGTAATTCGTTATTAATTCGTATTTAAATTAGCTTACAATTCAATATTGAGCCATGCAGGAATTGTGTGAGGAGTAATAAAGATTCGAAACAATTTTTTCAATTTATTTCGTAATTATTTCGAAATTATTTCGTAATTATTTCATAATTATTTTCGCATGTCTGGTGCAAGTTTTATAGTTGTTGTTTGTTTTATCACACCAACAGTCAACAACAGAGGGAGAGGGAAGCTTCAGAAGTTCCCCCTGTCCCATTTGGAGGTTTTTTTAGCATATTGCGCAATCGCGTCCGCCATTAACGAATCGATTCGTAATTTTACGAAATTTCGTAAATTTTGAAATTTTTAAAGGAAAATTTCGGAATTATTAAAAAAAACGAAACGCAAGGGCCCCCTAAAAACGAAACGAGTTTAGAACCAAATTTTTCCGTGGTTACCCAAGCCTACTAATCACCACTAGGACCATTATTATTATTTTACAGTGGCCACACCAAAGCTGCAACAAGTGGGAGCTGGATGGCCATCTGTCAGGAGGGCTTCGATTGTACCTTCCTATGTGGCAGTAAGGTGCTGGGCTGGATGGCCCTTGGGGGGTCTCTTCCAACTCTAGGATCCTATGATTCTGTGATCCTTCTTTGGAAGTTTCTACTTACTTAGGCGATCCCTCGTTGGACGAGTAAGATGGTCTTCCATCATGGGTTTCCTTGTGGGTCCGTATGTGGCTGTGGAGCCCTATTCTTGCTCTGCATCTTCTTCCGCAGTGAGGGCATTGGTTTCCAGGTGGAAGGCGGTCCCAGTTGGGGTTGGCTTGACGCGCCTTCCTCCTGGCACGTTTCTCTCTTTCACCCTCCACTCGTGCCTCCTCAAATTTTGCAGCACTGCTGGTCACAGCTGACCTCCAGCTGGAGCACTCAAGGGCCAGGGCTTCCCAGTTCTCAGTGTCTATGACAGAGTTTTTAAGGTTGGCTTTGAGCCCATTGACAAGCTGGAATGTGTCCAGAGGAGGGCGACTAAAATGATCAAGGGTCTGGAGAACAAGCTCTATGAGGAGCGGCTTAAGGAGCTGGGCATGTTTAGCCTGAAGAAGAGAAGGCTGAGAGGAGATATGATAGCCATGTATAAATATGTGAGAGGAAGCCACAGGGAGGAGGGAGCAAGCTTGTTTTCTGCTTCCTTGGAGACTAGGACGGAACAATGGCTTCAAACTACAAGAGAGGAGATTCCATCTGAACATTAGGAAGAACTTCCTGACTGTGAGAGCCGTTCAGCAGTGGAACTCTCTGCCCCGAGTGTGGTGGGGGCTCCTTCTTTGGAAGCTTTTAAACAGAGGCTGGATGGCCATCTGTCAGGGGTGATTTGAATGCAATATTCCTGCTTCTTGGCAGGGGGTTGGACTGGATGGCCCATGAGGTCTCTTCCAACTCTGATTCTATCTTTCAATCTCTTTTCCTGTCCACCAACGTTCCATTTTCCATTCTTAAGTTCAAAGTACATTAACTGCTTTGGGGGACGGTGGTCAGGCATCCGGACAACGTGGCCAGCCCAGCAGAGTTGATGTTGGAGGACATCGCTTCAATGCTGGTGGTCTTTGCTTCTTCCAGCAAACTGACGTTTGTCCGCTTGTCTTCCCAGGAGATTTGCAGGATTTTCCGGAGGATTTGCAGGATTTTCCAAAAATCCTCCAGAAGTTTCTAAGCAGAAGCTGGATGGCCATCTGTTGGGAGGGCTTTGATGGTGTCTTATTTATTTATTATTTATTTATTTGCCATATTTGTATACCACCCTTCTCAACCCTGAAGGGGATTCAGGGTGGTTCACAGTCTTCCTTTATGGCAGATTGGGGTTGGATTGGATGAACTTTGGTGTTCCTTTCCAACATGAGGATTCTATGAGTTCAAATTCTAGTCTCCAAAATAATCCTGCCCTTCTTTCCTCCCGATCCTTGCTTCCATTTTTGCCCCGAGACTCTAAAACCACAGGCCGGGAGTGCCTTGCTTTGACTGAGTGCCCATCAGCTGCTCCGAGAATAGGATAAATGAATCCATGCGCCCAGAGGCCCCAGACACAGCTGAGCCACTGGGCAGGACATTGTGTGTGTGTGTGTGAGTTTGAAAAGGCCAGCGGTGTGTGTGCTCTGCTGGGAGGGAGCAAATCGATGGCTCCCGTGTTGGACAGGGACATTAGCGCTAAGCATGATGAACAATCTCCCTCCTCGGGGCTTTCATGGAGGGCGGGGTGGAAAGCAGAGAAGCCAAGACTGGTGGGATTTCAAGGGATGGGCTTGAGAAGAGTCCCATGCTCAAATCCCATGCTCAAACCATTATTAAACCATGTTGGTTCTCCCAAACCAAATATCCTGTACCCTAGGATGGTGTGCCCCATGTTTCCCCCTTTTCCTTTCCCCCAACCCAACTAAGGTTCCTCTGCAAAGAGCAGCTCTCCAACTGAGCTGCCAAGGGATGGATTTCTGCTCCAATTCTGCATCAATTTCACTGCAAGGGACAGCTGCTCCCGATCAATTCCTCCCTTGAGCCCCATGAGATGTGGGGAGAGACGAGGAGGAGGAGGACAACAGCAGCCCAGAAGGCGGGCATCGAGTAGCTATACTTTCCAGGGGGCAAAGATAGGGAGGAAAGCACACAGCCCAGCCAGGACTAGCCTCCCCATCCAGGCCTTCACCTTGTGCCCTTTGCAGGTGAGGATCCCAGGAGTAGTGGGGATTCCCAGTCTGGCAAATGGGAATTCAATGCATATATATATATTTATATTTCGAATATTTGTACCCCACCCTTCTCAACCCCCTGGGGGGTGGGGGGTGGACTCAGGGCGGCTTCAACTCGGCAGCAATTTGACGCCTCAATCTATATAAATAAAAATGTAATGTTCGTTTGTGGTATTCACAGAACTCAAAAACCACTGGACGAATTGACACCAAATTTGGACACTACACCCCTAACGGACCAACGAGTGACCATCTATATACATAAAAAATGTAATGTTCGTTTGTGGGATTCACACAACTCAAAAACCACTGGACGAATTGACACCAAATTTGGACACTACACCCCTAATAGACCAACGAGTGACCATCTATATAAATAAAGAATGTAATGTTCGTTTGGCGTATTCATACAACTCAAAAACCACTGGACGAATTGACACCAAATTTGGACACTACACCCCTAGCAGACCAACGAGTGATTATCTATATAAATAAAGAATGTAATGTTCGTTTGTGGGATTCACACAACTCAAAAACCACACAACTCAAAAACCAAATTTGGACACTACACCCCTAGCAGACCAATGAGTGACCATCTATATAAATAAAAAATGTAATGTTCGTTTGTGGTATTCACACAACTCAAAAACCACACAACTCAAAAACCAAATTTGGACACTACACCCCTAACAGACCAACGAGTGACCATCTATATACATAAAAATGTAATGTTCGTTTGTGGTATTCACAGAACTCAAAAACCACTGGACGAATTGACACCAAATTTGGACATAAGACACCTAACAACCCGAATGACCATCTATATAAATAAAAAATGTAATGTTCGTTTGTGGTATTCACACAACTCAAAAACCACACAACTCAAAAACCAAATTTGGACACTACACCCCTAGCAGACCAACGAATGACCATCTATATAAATAAAAAATGTAATGTTCGTTTGTGGCATTCACAGAACTCAAAAACCACTGGACGAATCAACACCAAATTTGGACACTACACCCCTAGCAGACCAACGAGTGATTATCTATATAAATAAAGAATGTAATGTTCGTTTGTGGGATTCACACAACTCAAAAACCACACAACTCAAAAACCAAATTTGGACACTACACCCCTAGCAGACCAATGAGTGACCATCTATATAAATAAAAAATGTAATGTTCGTTTGTGGTATTCACACAACTCAAAAACCACACAACTCAAAAACCAAATTTGGACACTACACCCCTAACAGACCAACGAGTGACCATCTATATACATAAAAAATGTAATGTTCGTTTGTGGTATTCACAGAACTCAAAAACCACTGGACAAATTGACACCAAATTTGGACACTACACCCCTAATAGACCAACGAGTGACCATCTATATCAGTGTTTCTCAACCTGGGGGTCGGGACCCCTGAGGGGGTCGTGAGGGGGTGTCAAAGGGGTCGCCAAAGAACATCAGAAAACATAGTATTGGTCATTGGGATTCTGTGTGGAAAGTTTAACCCAATTCTGTTGTTGGTCGAGTTCTGAATGCTCTTTGATTGTAGGTGAACTATAAATCCCAACAACTACAACTCCCAAATGCCAAAGTCTATTTTCCCCCAGACTCTACCAGTGTTCACATTTGGGCATACTGAGTATTCGTGCCAAGTTTGGTCCAGATCCACCATTGCATGAGTCCACAGCGCTCTCTGGATATAGGTGAACTACAACTCCCAAACTCAAGGTCAATGCCCACCAAACCCTTCCAGTGTTTTTTGGTCATGGGAGCCAAGTTTGGTTCAAATCCATTGCTGGTGGAGTTCAGAATGCTCTTTGATAAGTGAACTATAAATCCCAGCAACTACAACTCCCAAATTACAAAATCAATCCTCCTCCAACCCCACTAGCATTCACATTTGGGTGTATTGGGTATTTGTGCCCAGTTTGGTCCAGTGAATGAAAATATATCCCGCATATCGGATATTTACATTGCGATTTATAACCGTACTAAAATGACTGTTATGAAGTAGCAATGAAAACAATATTACGGTTGGGGGTCACCACAACATATAGAACTGCATTAAGGGGTCACGGCATTAGCCAGGTTGAGAAGCACTGATCTATATAAATAAAAAATGTAATGTTCGTTTGTGGTATTCGCAGAACTCAAAAACCACTGGACGAATTGACACCAAATTTGGACACTACACCCCTAGCAGACCAACGAGTGACCATCTATATAAATAAAAAATGTAATGTTCGTTTGTGGTATTCACACAACTCACAAACCACTGGATGAATTGACACCAAATTTGGACACAAGACACCGAACAACCCAATGTATGTCATTCACTCAAAAAAATTTGAATTTGTCATTGGGGAGTTGTAGTTGCTGGGATTTATAGTTCACCTACAATCAAAGAGCATTCTGAATCCCCACCAACGATGGAATTGAACCAAACTTGGCACACAGTTCTCCACAACCAACAGAAAATACTGGAAGGGTTTGGTGGGCATTGACCTTGAGTTTGGGAGTTGTAGTTCACCCACATCCGCATTGACCTTGAGTTTGGAGTTGTAGTTCACCTACATCCAGAGAGCACTGTGGACTCAAACAATGATGGATCTGGACCAAACTTGGCACGAATATTCCATATGTCCAAATATGAACACAGATGGAGTTTGGGGGAAATAGACCTTGACATTTGGGAGTTGTAGTTACTGGGATTTATAGTTCACCTACAATCAAAGAGCATTCTGAACCCCACCAATGATAGAATTGGGCCAAACCTTCCACACAGGACCCCCATGACCAACAGAAAATACTCTGGTGGTCTTTGGTGACCTTTCTGACACCCCCCTGGTGACCCCCCCCCCGGGGTCTTGACTTCCCAGGTTGAGAAATGCTGCCTTAAGGCCATCCAGTCCAACTCCCTTCACCAGGGCAAGAAAACATAATCAAAGCCCTCCTGACAAAGGGCCATCCAGCCATTCACACACACACACATATATGTATATGACAGATGCAATATACAAGATTTGAAAGGACAATGATATGTTGCATATTCCAGAGTAGGCAAACCAGACACTCTCCACATCAACACTGACAAAGAAACAGCAAGAAATACTGTTTACCCACAAGCAGAAAGGCATTACATATATTAGAAACCAACACTTTCTCGTTACTTTATTTTCCAGATCAGACTGGGCCACAGCAACGCGTGGCAAGGGACCGCTAGTACATAATAAAAACAAACAGTCAATAATGATAAATAGTTTAAAACATTAAAACAATACAATTAAAATCCACTAAGAATTCCACTCTGGTGGCCATTATTAGCCGAAAACTATGGATGGAAGCACCACCAAACTTATCCATAATCCATTTCCAAGCCATTGTCAACAGTGTTATTGTCATTGTCCACTTAATTACCCGAAGGCTTGGTCCCACATCCATGTTTTTAACTATTTTCTAAAGGTGACGAAAGACGAAGATGACCTAACTTCCCTGGGGAATGAGTTCCACAGGCGGTGGGCCACCACCGAGAAGGTCCTGTCCCTCGTCCCCGCCAAGCGTGTTAGAGACAAAGGCGGGGCCGAGAGCAGAGCCACCCCAGAAGACCTTAAACTCCGAGGTGGGACGTGTCAGGATTAATTTAGTTATGTATGTGTTTTTCAATGTGCTTCTATGTATTGCCAAGATGGATGCCACTGTGAATTGAAAATGCCATGCAGAAATGTTTATACTTTGAGGCTGTGATTAAGTGAACTTGAGAAAAGTAAGATAAGGTTTGTTCTTGCTGAGAACAGAAGGGAGTTGCCAGTCTCAGCAAGAGAAGATAAGCAGATGTGAAGAGGCTTTCGGTTTTGACTAGTTCTTTGTTTTTCCTGAATTGTAGCTCGCTGTAGAAAGACGTGTCTGATGTATGTACTTAGTAAACTTAGTTTCTTTTGTAACTCAAAGCTTGCAGAGTTGTTATTTTGCAACTCAGTGTCTGCTTGATCTAGCATTCCTTCTGTTGGGGATTGCCAATCTCTGACAGGATGTAGAAGGAGATACGTTCGGACCGTTACACTGGACCGGAGCCATATAGGGTTTTATAGGTCAAAACTAACACTTTGAATTGTGCTCGGAATTGCATCTCCTCTCCTGGCCTCAATCCATTCTGCATCAAACCCACCCACCATCCCAGTATTGCGACAACTCACACATGAGTCAGGTTGGGGCTGGCTCGGAAAGCATCCGGAGCAATGAACTGCAGACGGGTCTTGGAGATGGTCCTGCCAAAACAAACCAAAGCAAACCTTTTGATGCATACAATGTTGGAAAAACTAACAATCTTGCATGCACGTTGAAATGGTTCTCGAGATGGTCCTGCCAAAACAAACCAAAGCAAACCTTTTGACACATACAATGCTGGGAAAACTAACAATCTTGCATGCACATTGACATAGTTCTGCAGTCTGTCTTGGAGATGGTCCTGACAAAACACACCAAACTAACCTTTTGACACATACCATTTTGGGAAAACTATCAATCTTGCATGCACATTGAAATGGTTCTGCAGTCTGTCTTGGAGATGGTTCTGCCAAAACACACCAAACACACCTTTCGACACATACAATGTTGGGAAAACTAACAATCTTGCATGCACATTGAAATGGTTCTGCCATCCGTATGTTTCTGTGTTACCTCACTCTATTGCTTTGTCAGGTTTTACGGCACCCTCATTGAACAATTTGCATGGGGTTCGGGGAGCTTCCTTCATTGTGGACATGGCCCTAGTCACATAGGCAGCTATTTGAAGTCAGAAGGTTATAAAAGAGAGATGCATCCTTTGTTTGGAGTTGATTCGGTCTTTCGGTTTACTCTTAACAGAGTGACCATCATCCACTTCCAGCTATGTAGTTTGCCTGCCGCGTAGTTGCCTGACCTTACCTTAGGCCCCATGCTCAAGCTATAGAAACCTAACTTTTTACCTGCTATATCTGCATTGTACTTTTGAAATACTGAAGTGAATTATAACTGTGTGATCTTTCACTTAAGATTTTGTGAGTAAACTACTTTTTTTACGTGAACCAGTTTGATGTGAAGTCCTTTGTTTTCTGGCAGTTCTGAATGCATATTTCTTTGCATGCCAAATAGGGGTGCTGTGATCAATCATTAACTCTGCCTGTATTTTTGCTTTTGAAAGGCAAGCTGTCCTATCTCATACCTCTGGCCCATCCCGTTGTGTTTAACTCTGCTAATGTAGTGCTTTAGAGGAAGGTATAACTCTTTCAAATGAATTAGTTTGCCTCTGGTCAAATGGCTGAGCCCTTCCATGCTCTAAGCATTTACGTAATCCCAATATGCAAGAGAGCTGTCTCTATTCTCTCCCATATAGGAATACATAAGGCGCACCAAAACAATCCTAGCATGGCAGGGGAGAGGACGGCTGGCCATTCCAATGAACCCCACAGAAGGCAACAGAAGTCTTGCAGCAACAACACAGGTCAACACACATTTTGATTACAAAAGTGTGAGTCAAGCACTGAAAGAGTTAGTAGGCCAAAGCCTGTTAGAGTCAGTGGGTCAAAGCTAGTGTCGTTCTGAGGAGAGTGAGTAGGGCGAAGCCTGTTAGAGTTAGTGGGCCAAAACTACTGTCTTCCTGAGGAGTGTGAGATAAACCTCAGTGTGAGGTAAACTTCACTGTGAGGTAAACCTCTGTGTGAGAGAAGCCTGTTAGAGTTAGTGGGCCAAAACTACTGTCTTCCTGAGGAGTGTGAGATAAACCTCAGTGTGAGGTAAACTTCACTGTGAGGTAAACCTCTGTGTGAGAGAAGCCTGTTAGAGTTAGTGGGCCAAAACTACTGTCTTCCTGAGGAGTGTGAGATAAACCTCAGTGTGAGGTAAACTTCACTGTGAGGTAAACCTCTGTGTGAGAGAAGCCTGTTAGAGTTAGTGGGCCAAAACTACTGTCTTCCTGAGGAGTGTGAGATAAACCTCAGTGTGAGGTAAACTTCACTGTGAGGTAAACCTCTGTGTGAGAGAAGCCTGTTAGAGTTAGTGGGCCAAAACTACTGTCTTCCTGAGGAGTGTGAGATAAACCTCAGTGTGTGGATGTGAGGTAAACCTCTGTGTGAGAGAAGCCTCGTGTGAGAAAGCTCCAGTGTGAAGGCTGCTGTGTGTAAAGCTACTATGTATTTGTTTATTTGTGTTATGGAAACCTAGTTCTTGTAAATATTTTCACTCGCCCAACAATACATACATTCAACATCCTGGTTATTACATGGGCAAAGCCTTGCATTGTATGGGAGTCCCACAAATATGTCTCGAAGAACTTCGAATGGGAACACATTGCAGAATATGCAGTGACTATGCATTGGAGAATATGCAGTGATATTTGGCCACAGTCAAGTTCTCAAAATAATTTGCTTCATGAAAAGATCCAGTATAATGTATGCTCAGGGTGCTTGGGGAACAAGAAACATATGAGAGAGAATGCACCTCACAGAAGGCAATGTCCCACAGTCTTTGTTTAATAGATTTCAGTGCCATGTCATAACCCAGATGGTATAAGAGGGATGGAGTATAGTTGATCTGCTGATTCCAAAAATGGCACCCATTTCCCCCCTATAGTTTTTGAGATACAGATCTACCAGGCATTATCTGCTCATCCATAGAAAATTGTGAGAACCATATCTAAAATTCTAGAGCTGATGTAGTCTTTCCAATGTAATTTTCCATTGGATAGACTACCCCAGTGATCATAATCATAACCACAACAACAACCACCACCACCACCCCAAGAACAGGCCTAAAACCAAAAACATCAAGATTTTGTTGTTGTTGAGCTGTGTGATAATACTACAAATGCTACATGAGCTGATGTAGTCTATCCAATACAATTTTCTGAATCATCACCTCAATAATCATATTCATAACAACAACAACCACCACCACCACCAACCCAGGAACAGGCCTAAAAGCAAAGACACCAAGAATTTGCTGTTGTTGTTGAGCTGTGTAATAATAATACTAATGCTAAATGAGCCATCAGAATTCAAAACACGTCGACTTCAGTTATGAATTTTTAAATCACGTCTTGTGTTCACTATATTTCAATCATTGTTCTGTGTATTTTAATATATGTATTTTGTAGAAATATTTCAATATGGGTATTTTATATAATGTTTATGATGGATATGTGTTTTCAGCTATATTGTGATCCAACTCAAGCCATAAAGAGAGGTGGGTAAGAAATATAATAATAATAATATTATTATTATTAATAATAATAATAATAATAATAATAATAATAACACTATGTAACAAAATTTGGAAAAAAATCTGTTCCTGATTTGAAAGTATTATTTCCATGACTGTGTCGCAGCTGGCTGGGAGTCAGCTGCATTAAGATCACTACTGACCGAAAGGTCATGAGTTCGAAGCCAGCCCAGGTCAGAGTGAGTTTCCGACCATCTGTGTAGCTTGCTGTCAACCTTTGCAGGCCGAAAGACAGTTGCATCTGTCAAGTAGGAAATTTAGGTACCATTTATGCGGGGAGGCTAATTTAACTAATTTACAATGCCATAAAACTCCAGCAAACAAGCAAAAGAATGAGGAAGTACTCCATCAGTGTCACAAATGGACAGTGAAGCGGCAGCTCCCCTGGTGGCCAGAATACCCTCATGAACCTGGAATGTTAAATAGCCTCTGTGTGTCTGTCTTTATATGTTGTGTGCCTATGGCATTGAATGTTTGCCATGTATATGTACATTGTAATCCACCCTGAGTCCCCTGCAGGGTGAGAAAGGTGAAATACTCAAGGCGCAAATGCAAACAGTGCTAACAAAGAGAAAAAAATAGGACAAGTGCAAAGAAGCCAGAATGGATGTCCAATGAACTTCTAACGGTGCTAAGGCACAAAAGAGACATGCACAAGAAGTGGAAAAAGGGAGAAATCACTATAGAAGAATTCAAACAAATAGCCAACTCCTGTAGGGAAAAAGCCTGCAAGGCTAAAGCACAAAACGAGCTCAGGCTTGCCAGGGACATTAAAAATAATAAAAAGGGCTTCTTTTCTTATGTCAATAGAAAAAGGATTCTATGATTCTAAGGGGAATATAAATACTGTAAATAAATAAATATAAATACTGTAAATAAATAAATAAATCATTGTGCAGTCCTTACTTTGAAAGTAGTTGCTATACTCCAGAATTTTTTGTTTTTGTAGCTGCCACAAATTATGTTGAATTGGTTGAGACTCGATGAGATATTCATGGGAAAACTAGAGCAAAATGTGCTGCGGGATGTCCCTCCCGCAAAAAAACAAAGCGTTTGCAGTTTAATAAATGTTTTCCATGATTTTATGATAGAACCAATTAGAAAATAATATTTATAACCCAGGAACGGGAACTGTGTTACATAGTGTCCTAATGCTAATACATTTTGTTACTCACCTCTCCTCGGTGCTGGAGGCGAGGGAGAACATAATTTTAAAATATAGATAAATCAAAGGGCCATAATAATACATAGATTAAAAACGTAGAACAATGATTAAAACGCCAATACTAATCAAAGATAAATTTAAAATTCACAGGGGAGGCATGCTGGAAGAAATAAGTCTCGTCTTACATTTTGACAGCTCAATTAGCAAACCATTCCCTGATCTAAGGGCAGCTGATGATGAACTAAGACCTAATTGTAACCTGGACCCAAACCGTGTAGACACAACACTTTGCTTAATAGAAACTATTTGGGTCGGCCCAACAACACCGCCCTGTCCTCCAGCCCTGAAACTCACAGGTTCTTCAGCTCTCGAGGGTTCTTCATGTCCTCCAACGTCAGGTTGGTCAACGTGGTTTGGTTTTCGATGACGCTGAAAGAGAAAGGGAGATCTTGCATCCAGTTCAATGCAAGGAAGCTGAGCCGGGTTTGACAATACACTAAGCTAGGTTTTTATCTTATCGTGTCAGAAATGACTTGAGAAACTGCAAGTCGCTTCTGGTGTGAGAGGATTGGCCGTCTGCAGAGACGTTGCCCAGGGCTTCCTGTATTTACCCCTTGAATCATCACAAAAGGGGGGTCTGGAGGGGGCTTTGACCCCTTTGGATTGGGGAATGATGGAGAGCTGGCTGGAGGTCAGTGTGGATGGGTACAAAGTGGGGAGGGGGCAATGGAAGGGGACACAGAGCTGACCCCTCTTCTGAGTCTCTTCCAAGGCATTGGGAGACCCGAGCCCAAGACCCCTAACCTTGGGAGACCCGACCCCTGGTTTCCTGGATGTACCCCTTGAATCATCACAAAAGGGGTGCAAATGGGGGTCTTGCGTGGGCTTTGGATTGGGGAATGATGGGTTGAGGAGGGAATGGGGAGCCGGCTGGGGGTCAGTGTGGGTGGGCACAAAGTGGGGAGGGGGCAATGGAAGGGGACACAGAGCTGATCCCTCTTCTGAGTCTCTTCCAAGGCATTGGGAGACCCAAACCTAAGACCCCCACCCTTGGGAGACCCGACCCCTGGCTTCCTGGATGTACCCCTTGAATCATCACAAAAGGGGGTCTGGAGGGGGCTTTGGATTGGGGAATGATGGGTTGAGGAGGGAATGGGGAGCCGGCTGGGGGTCAGTGTGGGTGGGCACAAAGTGGGGAGGGGGCAATGGAAGGGGACACAGAGCTGACCCCTCTTCTGAGTCTCTTCCAAGGCATTGGGAGACCCGAGACTAAGATCCCCACCCTTGGGAGACCCGACTCCTTGCTTCCTGGATGTACCCCTTGAATCATCACAAAAGGGGTGCAAATGGGGGTCTTGCGAGGGCTTTTGATTGGGGAATGATGGGTTGAGGAGGGAATGGGGAGTCAGCTGGGGGTCAGTATGAGTGGGCACAAAGTGAGGAGGGGGCAATGGAAGGGGACACAGAGCTGACCCCTCTTCTGAGTCTCTTCCAAGGCATTGGGAGACCCGAGCCCAAGACCCCCACCCTTGGGAGACCCGACCCCTGGCTTCCTGGATGTACCCCTTGAATCATCACAAAAGGGGTGCAAATGGGGGTCTGGCGGGGGCTTTGGATTGGGGAATGATAGGTTGAGGAGGGAATGGGGAGCCGGGTGGGGGTCAGTGTGGGTGGGCACAAAGTTTGGGGAGGGGCCAAAGTGGAAAGGGGGACACAGGGAGCCTGATCCCCTCTTCCCTGAAGTCCTCATTCCAAGGCATGTTGGGTAAGAAAACCCCCAAAACCTAAGACCCCAAACACCCCCTTGGGAGACCCCGACCCCCCCTGGGCCCCCTTTTCCCCCCCCTGTGGCATGTAACCCCTTTGGGGAATCCCATCCACCAAAAAGGTGGGTCCTGAAGGGGGCCCTTTTGGAATTGGGTAATTTGGATTGGTTTTTTGAGGAGGAAAATGGGGAGCCGGGCTGGGGGGTCAGTGGTGAGTGGGCCACAAAGTTGGTGGGAGGCGAGCCAATGGAAAAAGGGGACAACAGAGCCTTTTGATCCCTTCTTTCCCTGAGTCCCCGCTCCTTGTTGTTTTTGCATTGGGAGACCCAAACCTAAGACCCCCACCCTTGGGAGACCCGACCCCTGGCTTCCTGGATGTACCCCTTGAATCATCACAAAAGGGGTGCAAATGGGGGTCTGGCGGGGGCTTTGGATTGGGGAATGATAGGTTGAGGAGGGGAATGGGGAGCCGGCTGGGGGTCAGTGTGGGTGGGCACAAAGTGGGGAGGGGGCAATGGAAGGGGACACAGAGCTGATCCCTCTTCTGAGTCTCTTCCAAGGCATTGGGAGACCCAAACCTAAGACCCCCACCCTTTGGGAGACCCGACTCCTTGCTTCCTGGATGTACCCCTTGAATCATCACAAAAGGGGTGCAAATGGGGGTCTGGCGGGGGCTTTGGATTGGGGAATGATGGGTTGAGGAGGGAATGGGGAGCCGGGTGGGGGTCAGTGTGGGTGGGCACAAAGTGGGGAGGGGGCAATGGAAGGGGACACAGAGCTGACCCCTCTTCTGAGTCTCTTCCAAGGCATTGGGAGACCCGAGCCCAAGACCCCCACCCTTGGGAGACCCGACCCCTGGCTTCCTGGATTTACCCCTTGAATCATCACAAAAGGGGTGCAAATGGGGGTCTTGCGAGGGCTTTTGATTGGGGAATGATGGGTTGAGGAGGGAATGGGGAGTCAGCTGGGGGTCAGTATGAGTGGGCACAAAGTGAGGAGGGGGCAATGGAAGGGGACACAGAGCTGACCCCTCTTCTGAGTCTCTTCCAAGGCATTGGGAGACCCGAGACTAAGATCCCCACCCTTGGGAGACCCGACTCCTTGCTTCCTGGATGTACCCCTTGAATCATCACAAAAGGGGTGCAAATGGGGGTCTGGCCATCCAGGCGCCCAGGGGATGTGATACCATCCTGTGGGAGGCTTCTCTCATGTCCACACATGGGAAGCTGGAGCTGACAGATGGGAGCTCACCCTGTCTCACACATTTGAACTGTTGACCTTCAGGTCAGCTGTTCATCTGGCACAAGGGTTTAACCCATTGCACCACTGTGGCTCCCAGCTAAGCAGGGTCATCCTCAATGAATGCTTCTAGGATGGGAGACCATCCTGCCCCAGTAACTGGTCAATATACATTTTGATGCCTCAAATGTTAGCTCTGGGTATATTTGACCTGCTGTTTCCAAAACTGGTACATATTCCTCCTTCTCAGCTCTAGTTTTTGAGATACGAACATATGGCATCTCTCAGCCGCCATCTGCTCACCCATAAGAAATCATGGTAACCATATCTAAGAAACTAGAGCTGGTGAGATCTGTCCAAGGCAATTTTCTGAATCAGTGGCAATCATAATAATAATAATAATAATAATAATAATAATATAGATCTCGTTTGCTGTGACATACTGTGCTTTTGTGTCAGTAAAATAATAATAATAATAATAATAATAATAATAATAATAATATTCACAATAATAAACACTGCTGGCTGTTGAATTGGATCACAGGTCGGACACTTCCCAAGTGTCTAGGACTGTCTGGTGTATCGGCGAATAATGCGTGCAGATCCCAGTAAGGTGACCTTCTGCAGCTGGCAGATGGTAATTTTGTCAGTGCCAATTGTGTTTAAGTGCAGGCCAAGGTCTTTAGGCACTGCGCCCAGTGTGCCGATCACCATGGGACCACCTTGACTGGTTTGTGCCAGAGTCTTTGCAGTTCAATTTTTAAATCTTCATATCGTGTCAGCTTTTCCAGTTGTTTCTGTGCAATCCTGCTGTCACCTGGGATTGCGACATCGACAATCCATTATTATTATTATTATTATTATTATTATTATTATTATTATTATTAGGACAATTCATTCCACAATCAAATTATGTTGGTTCTGGCAAAGACAGCTCTTGAGGAAAGTTTGCAAATACTCTCCTTAGACACCAGTTTTGTATTCTTCTTCCTTTCAGGCCAGTCTTGCTTCTCTGCCATCTTGGATAGCCCTTGCCCACTCTGCCTTCACCTTCTTGAGATGGGGCCACTTCATCCCTGATGCCGTGACCCCTGAAGGGCATCAGAGCTGGGCTCCCTCTCCTCCCATTTGAGAACAGCCCCCCTTCGAGGGGTATTTTGTTAGGAAACCAGCAGACTCCTATCAAGAAGCAACCTTGCACAGAACTTGGTGTTTGTGCCACTCCCAGAACTGAGTGGGCACTTGGAGGGCAGCCTTGCAAAGCCACTCAGGGCTTCGAAGAGGAGAAGGAGGGTGAAAAGAACCAAGGCATTCTTTCACCCACCTCATTCACCAACTCCACCACTTTCTCCTTTCCAGGAGAGCTGTTTGGAACAGTCAGAGGTTGAGCCATTGGGGCCCAGCTCTTGCCCCTTCAATGTATGCCTTTCTGGCTTCAGTTGTGCCAAAGGAAAAGGTGTGGTTTTAAGGGCAAAGAAAGTAACATCCCTCCCCACTACCAGGCACTCAGGTGCCTTCCTACTTTCTCCTGCCTCAACCAACTGGTCCACGGTGCTTAGTAGAGGTAGAATAGATAGATGAGACTATTTCACAATGACACGAACACTGGGCAGGATGGCACAGAAGAGGCAGCATGACTCAGGTGCCACTCCTGGCATCAGGAACCTCAGAGTACGGTGAAAGGGCGGAATAGGAGAAGGAAGAGAAAGAAGGAGGAAGAGAAGGAGGAAGAGGAGAAGAGTAGAGAGAGAAGGAGGAAGGAGGAGAGAGAAGGAAGATGAGGAAGAGATTGGCATGGGAGTAGGAAGTGAGAGAAAGAGGAAGAGAAGGAGGAGGAAGAGTAGCATAGGAGCAGGAGGGAGATGGAGGAAGAGGGACAGAGTTATTAGGAGCAGGAAGAGAGCAAAGGAGGGAGAGCAGATGGAGGGAGATGAGAAGGAGGAAGAAAGGAGTGGCATTGGAGCAGAAAGAAAAAGAAAAGAGGAAGAGGAGAAGAGTGGCATAGGAGCAGGAAGAAGGAGAAGGCGGAAGAGAGAAATAGAGGAAGAGGAGAAGTTTGGGATAGGAGCAGGAAGAGGGAGGAGGAGGCAGAAAGAGCAGGAAAGTGGCATAAGAACAGAAAGAAAAAGAAGGAGAAAAAGGAGAAAAGTGGTATAGGAGCATGAAGGGAAAAAGAGGATGAGGAGAAGGTTGGCATGGGAGCAGGAAGAGAGAGGAAGAGGAGAAGGAGCGGGAAGAGGGAGAAAGAGGAAGAAAAGGAGAGTGGCTTCGAAGCAGAAAGAAAAAAGGAGAAAGAGGGGGAAGGATGAAGAGGGGAAGACTGGCATGGGAGCAGGAAGAGAGAGGAGGGAGAGGAGGAGGAAGAAAAGAAGAATAGCATAGGAGCAGGAAGAGGGAAAAGATGGACGAGGTAAAGGTTGGGATTGGAGCAGGAAAAGAGAGGAAGAGGCAGAAGGAACAGGAAGAGGGAGAAGGCAGAGGAAAAATAGATAAAAGAGTGGCATAGGAGCAGGAAGAGAGGGAAGAAGGAAGAGGTGGAAGAGGAGTGGCATAGGAGGAGAAAGAGAGAGAAGGAGGAAGAGGAAAAAGGAGGAAGAGGAGAAGATTGGCAGCATGAGAGCAAGAAGAGAGAGAAGGAGGATGAGAGAGAAGGAGGAAGAGAGAGAAGGGGGCGAAAAAAGAATGTCATGGGAGCAGAAAGGGGTAGAAGGAGGAAAAGGGAAAACGAGGAAGACGAGAAGATTGGCAGCATGACAGAGGGAAAAGACAGAAGGATGAAGAGAAGAAGACTGGCACGAGAGAAGGAAGAGAGAGGAAAAAGAGAAGAAGATTGGCATGGGAGCAGAAAGAGATAGAAGTAGGAAGAGAGAAGGAGGAAGAGGAGAAGGCGGAGGAAAAAAATAGCATGGAAGCAGAAAGGGATAGAAGGAGGGGGAGAGAGAAGGAGAAAGAGGAGAAGGCAGAGGAAAAGAAAGTGGCATAGGAGCAGAAAGAGAGAGAAGGAGGAAGAGGAAGAAAGAAAAGAAGAAGAAGAAGAAGGGAGAGAAGAGGGAAGAGAAAGAAGAAATGGAGGAGAAGAAGGAGAAATAGTCAACACACAGAGCGGCAAATAAAGAGAAGGGAGAAAGAGCTGTAGAAAGAAGAAGAAGAAAGAAAGAAGCAAAAGAAAGTACTGCAGAAGTCCGCAGAAGAAGAAGGAGAAGGAAGAGAGAAGGAAAGAAAGAAAAAAGAGAAGAAAGAAAAAGAAAGAAGAAGAGAAGGAAGAAAGGAGAAGAAGAGAAGAAAAGAGAGAAGAAAGAAAGAAAGAAGAAGAAAGAAAAGAAAGAAAGAAAGAAGGAAAAGAAGAAGGAAGAAGAAAGAAAGAAAGGAAGAAAGACAGAAAAGAAGAAAGAAAGAAGAGAAAGAAGGAAGAAGAAGGAAGGAGAAGAAAGAAAGAAAGAAGAAGAGAAGAAAAAAGAAAGGAAAGAAGAGAAAGAAAAGAAAGAGAGAAGAGAAGAAAGAAGAGAAAGAAAAGAAAGAAGAGAGAAAAGAAAGAAGAAAAAAAAGAAGAAGAAGAAAGAAGAAGAAGAGAAGAGAGAAAAGAAAGAAGAGAGGAAGAGAAGAAAGAGAGAGAAGAGAAAGAGAAGAAGGAGAAGGAGAAGAGAAGAAAAGAGAGAAGGCAGAGGAAAAGAAAGTGGCATAGGAGCAGAAAGAGAGAGAAGGAGAGAAGAGAGAGGAGGAGGAAAGGAGAAGACTGGCATGAGAGAAGGAAAGGAGAAAGATAAGATTGGCATGGGAGCAGAAAGAAATAGAAGGAGGAAGAGCGAGAAGGAGGAAGAGGAGAAGGTGGAAGAAAAAAAGAATGGCATGGAAGCAGAAAGGGATAGAAGGAGGGAGAGAGAAAAGGAGGAAGAGGAGAAGGCAGAGGAAAGGAAAGTGGCATAGGAAGCAGAAAGGTGTAGAAGGAGGAAGAAAGAGAAGGAGGAGGAGGAGGAGGAGGAGGAGGAGGAGGAGGAGGAGGAAAAGAAAGTGGCATAGGAACAGAAAGAGAGAGAAAGAGGAAGAGGGAAAAGGAGGAAGAGGAGAAGATTGGCAGCATGAGAGCAAGAAGAGAGAGAAGATGGAAGGGAGAGAAGGAGGAAGAGAAGGAGGGGGCGAAAAGAATGGCATGGGAGCAGAAAGAGAGAGAAGGAGGGAGAGAGAAGGAGGAAAAGGAGAAGGCAGAGTAAAAGGAAGTGGCATAGGAGCAGAAAGAGACAGAAGGAGGAAGAGGGAAGAGTCAGAAGAGGAGAAGATTAGCAGCATGAGAGCAAGAAGAGAGAGAAGGTGGAAGAGAGAGGAGAAAGAGAAGACTGGCATGAGAGAAGGAAAAGAAGAAAGAGAAGATTGGCACGGGAGCAGAAAGGGGTAGACGGAGGAAGAGAGAGAAGGACGAAGAGGAGGAGGAGGAGGAAAAGAAAGTGGCATGGGAGCAGAAAGAGAGAGAAGGAGGAAGAGGAAAAAGGAGGAAGAGGAGAAGATTGGCAGCATGAGAGCAAGAAGAGAGAGGAGGAAGAGGAGAAGGAGGGCGAAAAGAAGAATGTCATGGGAGCAGAAAGAAGGAGGAAGAGAGAGAAGGAGGAAGAGGAGAAGGCAGAGGAAAGGAAAGTGGCATAGGAGCAGAAAGGGATAGAAGGAGGGAGAGAGAAAAGGAGGAAGAGGAGAAGGCAGAGGAAAGGAAAGTGGCATAGGAGCAGAAAGGGATAGAAGGAGGAAGAGAAAAAAGGAGGAAGAGGAGAAGGCAGAGGAAAGGAAAGTGGCATAGGAGCAGAAAGGGATAGAAGGAGGAAGAGAAAAAAGGAGGAAGAGGAGAAGACTGGCAGCATGAGAGCAAGAAGAGAGAGGAAGAGGAAGAGGAGAACATTGGCATGAGAGAAGGAAAAGGAGAAAGAGAAGATTGGCATGGGAACAGAAAGAGAGAGAAGGAGGAAGAAGAGTAGGAGGAGAGTAGCCCAAGTGCAGAGAGGAGAAGGAAGAGGAGCCGGGCAGAAGGAGTCCCCCCCCCCCCGGGGGCATGCCCATCCCTGGGTGCTGCTCACATTTCGGTGAAGTTCTCGAGGCTGCGGAGCTGGGCGAGGCTCCGGATGGTGTTGGGCTCCTGGCAGAGGAGGCTGTTGAGGTACTTTGTGTTTTGTTTGGTTTGCGTTGGTTTGCTTGCGTGTTTGTGAGGCATTACCCATGGCTTTGTGCTGTGTTTGCTTTGTGCTGTGGTCTTGTGTGCTTGTTGTGTTGCTCTCTTTGTGTTGCTTGCTTTGCTTGTCTGATTGCTTGACTGTTGTAATGATTTGCTTGGCTCGTGCTGTGCCTGCTTGCCTGCTGTGTCGCTGTTTTGCTTTGTGTTGTGATGCTGTGTTTGTCTGAGCTTTGTGCTGTGCTGAAATTTGTGCTGTTGTCGTTTGTTGCTGTGTTTGTGCGCCTGTGTTGATGTGTTCGTTGCTTGCCTTGCTGTTTGTGCTTTGTTGCTGATGTGTTGTGCTTGCTGTGTCGTGCTCGTTTGTTGTGATGTGCTCGCCTGTGGTGTGTTGCTTGCTGCTGCTGTTGTGCTTTGCTGTGTGTGGTTCTCGTTTTGCTGATTTTGGGCTTGTATGCTGCGGTGTGTGTTTGTGTTGGCTTGTGTTGATGCTGGCTGATTTTGCATGCCCATCCCTGGGTGCTGCTCACATTTCGGTGAAGTTCTCGAGGCTGCGGAGCTGGGCGAGGCTCCGGATGGTGTTGGGCTCCTGGCAGAGGAGGCTGTTGAGGTAGCAGCGGCAGGGCTCCAGGCAGGGCGAGGGGGCGGCGCGGGGCGGCAGGGGCAGCAGCCAAGCCAGCAGGCACAGGGCCAGCCCCGCCCGGCCCCAGGGCGCCCTCCTCGCCTCCATCCAGACCCCCTGTCTCAGTGGTCCATGGGGCACAGCCCTTCCCTCCCTTCAGCCCCTCCGAGCATCCCTGCCTCTCTCTCTCTGCCAAACAGGGCACCTCTGCCTCCCGATGCCTGCCGCTGCATTTAAAGGGCAAAGGGGGAGGAGCCGCCCACACACTGGCCACGCCCCCTCCCCACTCCCCAGGACCCTCTCTCTAGGGATGGACCCAGAGAGAGAGAGAGAGAGCAGGCTGCCATGGCCCTTCTCTAGGTAAAGCCAGGGCACTGGGACTGGCATCCCATTCTAATTATTATTATTATTATTATTATTATTATTATTATTATTATTATTATTATTTGAAACACATCAAGATGAGTCCACAGCAAACAAGGTCACTCTGCTGGCTGTTGTATTGGATCACACGTCGGACACTTCCCAAGTGTCTAATAATAATAATAATAATTATTATTATTATTATTATTATTATTTTAGAAACACAAGATGAGTCCACAGCAGACACTCTGCTGGCTGTTGTATTGGATCACATGTTGGACACTTCCCAAGTGTCTAGGACTGTGTGATTTATGTATTATTATTATTATTATTATTATTATTATTAGAAACACAACAAGATGAGTCCACAGCAGACACTCTGCTGGCTGTTGTATTGGATCACACGTCGGACACTTCCAAATATAAATAAATATTATTATTATTATTATTATTATTATTATTATTATTATTATTAGAAACACCACAAGATGAGTCCACAGCAGACACTCTGCTGGCTGTTGTATTGGATCACACGTAGGACACTTCCCAAGTTTTTCTTTTTCTTTTATTATTATTATTATTATTATTATTAGAAACACAAGATGAGTCCACAGCAGACACTCTGCTGGCTGTTGTATTGGATCACACGTCGGACACTTAATAAATAGAGTAAAATAATAATAATTATTATTATTATTATTATTATTATTATTATTATTATTATTATTATTAGAAACACAAGATGAGTCCACAGCAGACACTCTGCTGGCTGTTGTATTGGATCACACGTCGGACACTTCCCAAGTGTCTAATAATAATAATAATAATAATTATTATTATTATTATTATTATTATTATTAGAAACACAAGATGAGTCCACAGCAGACACTCTGCTGGCTGTTGTATTGGATCACACGTCGGACACTTCCCAAGTGTCTAATAATAATAATAATAATAATAATAATAATAATATATATTATTATTATTATTATTATTATTATTATGAAACACAACAAGATGAGTCCACAGCAGACACTCTGCTGGCTGTTGAATTGGATCACACGTCGGACACTTCCCAAGTGTCTATTATTATTATTATTATTATTATTATTATTATTATTATTATTTGAAACACATCAAGATGAGTCCACAGCAGACACTCTGCTGGCTGTTGTATTGGATCACACGTCGGACACTTCCCAAGTGTCTAATAATAATAATAATAATAATAATTTATTATTATTATTATTATTATTATTAGAAACACAAAGATGAGTCCACAGCAGTCCCCTTTGGGGAGATGGTGGCGGGTTATAAATATTAATAATAATAATAATAATAATTATTATTATTATTATTTGAAACACAACAAGATGAGTCCACAGCAGACACTCTGCTGGCTGTTGAATTGGTTCATACGTCGGACACTTCCCAAGTGTCTAGGACTGAGTGATTATTATTATTATTATTATTATTATTATTATTATTATTATTATTATTTGAAATACAACAAGATGAGTCCACAGCAGACAAGATCACTCTGCTGGCTGTTGTATTGGATCACACGTCGGACACTTCCCAAGTGTCTAGGATGTTTCGGCGAATAAGAAGAGTCCATATATTATTATTATTATTATTATTATTATTATTATTATTATTAGAAACACAACAAGATGAGTCCACAGCAGACACTCTGCTGGCTGTTGCATTGGATCACACGTCGGACACTTCCCAAGTGTCTAGGATTGTGTGATGTATCAGCAAACAATTCGTGCAGATCCCAGTAAGGTGGCCTTCTGCAGCTGGCAGATGGTAATTTTGTCAGTGCTGATTGTGTTTAAGTGCAGGCCAAGGTCTTTAGGCACTGCACCCAGTGTGCCAATCACCACTGGGACCACCTTGACTGGCTTATGCCAGAGTCTTTGCAGTTCGATCTTTAAATCCTCATATCGTGTCAGGTTTTCCAGTTGCTTCTCCGCAATTATTATTATTATTATTATTATTATTATTATTATTTAATAATCCTTTTCTATGGCACACAGCAACAGAGGAATTGATCAGCAACTGAACATACTAGAGAGGTTTGGGGAGAATTCACCATGAATTATAGGAATTGTAGGTACTGGGATGTATAGTTCACCTGCAATCAATGAGCATTCTGAACTCCACCAATGATGGACCTGGAACTAGCTTGGCACACAGAACCCCCATGACTAACTCAACCTACTAGAGAGGTTCGAGGGGATTGAACTTGGCCATGGTGATCCACACTCTGGTTACATCCCGTATAGACTACTGCAACGCTCTCTACGTGGGGTTGCCTCTGAAGACTGCCTGAAAGCTTCAACTAGTCCAACGAGTGGCAGCCAGATTACTAACAGGAGCGGGGTACAGGGAGCATACTACTCCTCTGTTGTGCCAGCTCCACTGGCTGCCAATTAGCTTCCGAGCACAATTCAAAGTGCTGCTGTTGACCTATAAATCCCTAAACGACTCTGGCCCAGTTTACCTGTCCGAACGGATTCTCCCCTATGAACCATCGAGGTTGTTAAGATCTTCTGGAGGGGCCCTGCTCTTGGTCCCACCACCTTCGCAATCGTGTCTGGTGGGGATGAGGGACAGGGCCTTCTCGGTGGTGGCCCCTCGGCTCTGGAACTCTCTCCCGTTGGAGATTAGATCTGCCCCTTCCCTCCTGACTTTCAGAAAGCTGATAAAAACCTGGCTTTGGAATATAGCATTTGCAGAAGGATGATCGAGTCAATAACGGCTGACCACACCGGCGGATGGGGATGAATTTGTGATTTTATTTTGACGACCTGGCTTTTGTAACTGTATGATATTGTATGATCTGTATTTTAATGTATTTTGTATTGCTATTATGTTTACTATATGTGTGTTGAATTTTCTGCTGTTAGCCGGCCTGAGTCCCTCTTCGGCGATCGAGAAGACCGAGTTATAAAAGCTCTAAATAAATAAATAATAAATAAATTGACTCACTCTAGTGGGAGTTGTAGTTTACTCTAAAGCCAGAGAGCACACTGAACCCCACCATTGATGCATCCAGAGCAAACTTGCCCAACATAACAAACTTTAAGTACTGATGGAGTTTCTGGGGGTTAACCTGGCCTGATTAACCCCTAGAAACTCCATCAGTACTTCAGTACCCAGAAACTCCATCAGCTACAGACCAATCTCCCTGTTGTGCCACCTCTACAAAGTTCTGGAGAGACTTATTTTGCATAGAATTATGGAAAAAATAGACCCCTGTCTGATTCCACAGCAAGCTGGCTTCAGGAAAGGCAAAAGCTGCACATCGCAAGTGCTGAACCTGACTCAGCACATAGAAGATGGCTTTGAGAGGCAGCAGATCACAGGAGCTGTCTTCATAGACCTGTCAGCGGCTTATGACACTGTCAACCACTGCCTCCTCCTGAGAAAAATGTATAGTATCACAAAGGACAACCACCTCACCCGTCTCATAGAAAACCTGCTACAAAACAGGAGCTTTTTTGTTGAGTTCCAGGGCCAGAGAAGCAGATGGCGGAAACAGAAGAACGGCCTGCCTCAGGGGAGCGTGCTTGCTCCATCCATGTTCAACATCTACACAAATGACCAGCCACTGCCAGAAGGGACAGAGAGTTCATTTATGCTGATGATCGTGCCATTACTGCTCAAGCAGGGAGCTTTGAGATGGTTGAACAGAAGCTCTCCAAGCTCTAGGTGCTCTTACTGCCTATTACAGGGAAAACCAGCTGATCCCTAATCCATCTAAAACACAGACATGTGCCTTTCATCTCAAGAACAGACAAGCATCCCGAGCGCTGAGGATTACCTGGGAAGGAATCCCACCGGAGCATTGCAGCGCACCCAAATACCTGGGAATCACTCTGGACCGTGCTCTGACCTACAAGAAGCACTGCCTGAACATCAAGCAAAAAGTGGGTGCTAGAAACAATATCATACAAAAGCTGACTGGCACAACCTGGGGATCACAACCAGACACAGTGAAGACATCTGCCCTTGCGCTGCTACTCTGCTGCTGAGTATGCATGCCCAG